ACGAGACGAAGCGAACGGATGCATCGGGAGTTATGCAAGAGATGAGCAATGGTTGACAACGCAAGGAATGACTGCATGCATGCACGGGAGAAATCGGAGATGGGAGGCAGACAAGTTCAAGTGAAGAGGTAGGTTTTGAGCAAGTGTTTAAACAGAGGGATAAAGATGAAAAATGATGATTTGAAGCTTTCGTGACTGCAGGAATCCATACTCTATGGTTCTTTCGGGAAAGTCTCGTAGATAGATAGAAAAAATAATAAAAGAAAACACGTTTCGGCCGCTTGTGTTGTGACCGAAACGTCGTGTTTTCTTTGATTTTTTTTTCTATCTACGTGACTTTATCGAAAGAACCAGAGAATGAAAACTCATGGGGGTAACAGAGAACGGACTGAACTGTCCACAGAGCCGAGGGTAATAGGTGGCGTCACCAAGAAGCCATAATTAACGTGCGCGTGTTCAACTTCTTTCGCACCGTACGTAGCCAACAGTGCTAATCGGAGGTGCGAACAATGAGATCGGTGGCACGAGGAGGGCGGCGTTAACAAGAGTGAATGGGTAGCCAGCGGCAAAGCTATTGAGTTAAAGTGGATTTAAAGCTTTCGTGACTGCAAGGATTCATCTTCTTGGTTCTTTCGGTAAAGTCACGTAGAAGGGAAATAATAATTGTCAAGGCGCCCTTCCCCCCCTAACCCAGCTTAAAAATACGCTGCCAAGCTTGGTGGTGTTCATTCAGACGCTGTCTTTCCGACAGACCTGTTCTTCGCCTGAGGACGGCTGCTTGCTTGTGGCCGAAACGTCGTGAGAATTGTATTATACTGTTTAATTTTAATTATTTTATTATTTCCCTTCTACGTGACTTTACCGAAAGAACCAAGAAGACGAGTTAAAGTGCGTTTGCAAAAAATGACGTCGTGAAAAGACGTCGAATGGGAAATAATAACACAGCGTCGACGTGATGTGGAGGGTCTAAGCAAAATAATCCAACAACAAACCTCCACCCCCCCAAGTGACCTTCCACTTGAAAATATTTTCCGATAAACAGCTGGCAGTGCAACAGCCTTAATTGAAGGGATGTCGGATGAGACACTGAATATCGACAACATACTGGGAGAGCTTGCTTTTGCTGGAACTAATGCTGCTAATATTATGCACTCCCAGACACCATATGGGCTGACCGAGTGGAAAAATTAAATCCCCTTTAAATTTTTACGTGGAGGGACAGATACTGGGAAGGTGTATTGTCTGCTCATTTATTTTGATCGATAGATGGTTACTTCATTTAAGAGATTAGATTAACCGTGCTTAAGGGAAATGTATTGCGAGAAAGACTGGTCTAAGGAACCAAGCGTGGGTGGGCAGGCAGAAAGGAAAGAGAAATAGGCGATGGGTCAGATCAAAGGAGAATTATGCAATGTGATTGTTCACAAGGGCCTCACAGGCACGAGCCTTGACGTTTAATTCAAGACACACTTTTAAATCCGTTTTTTATCTACAAAAAAATGCACAGCAATCACCTGGTCATATACGTTGCCAACACATTTTAATTTTGTTTAAGCCCGCATTAATAAAATAAAACATGGACCACTTGAAAATCAATATATGAAATGTCTGAATGAAATTAGAACGTTAACTTCAAAACATGACACCTTTGAGTTGCCTTTTAATTACAATTTCATAAAAAAATTGCTCAACAATTAATAAGTCTAATGAACAAGTTTGGATAGGTAGCCTCGTGACGGTAACTTGTAAAGTAAATCAATAAAGGTAGTTAATAATTTCTCTGAACCTCAAATTAATGTTTTTTCCCAATCAATGTCGGAACCTCCATACATCTATCAGACAAAATATTCTCCCCGACACTTGCAGCTTCGGTCTAGAGAATGAAATAATAGTTCATAGGCACTCCAAAAGAGGCAGCTATCCTTGCCACAGAGAGGGAGGAAGCGCCACTCTTCCTGTAACGAAAGCCTTGTAAATGTAACGGTAAATTAATGGCAATAACGTCGTGAACAGAAGATGGGGTCTGGATGGCGCTTTGAAAGCTGTCGTCACATGGGAACGATTTCTGACGATGCTCATTGGATAATCTTGCAGCTCCAAATTGATATTCCGTCACACGAATCGACACGGTAACATTTAACGCGCAACTTAAAACGCGTTCAATTAATGACATGCCATTAAAACAAAACGCAACATATAGGTAAATCTTGCACGTGTCCATTCTACAAAAAAGCAGAAGCTTGTGAAGGAATTTTAACCCAATAATTGACACGTATCACAAACGCCAAATGGCAGCGATCGAATCTGGTGTGACGAAAGGTCACAAGCCTGATTTAAGTGCCAACAACCTCTTAAGAGTGTGAGATGGCGACAACTTGGGAAGTAGATTAATCATGGCCTATACGGATGATGATGATACTTCTCGTAGGCTATCACGGGCAGGATTGGAGTGTTCACCGCGAATGCCGACATGAATTTGAAGAAACATCAACGAAGTTAGACCAATATTTTTTTTCCTGCATAAATATCTGGCATCCATCAAATGTGGTTGGCAGGGTGGCACAGTGGGTAACACGTGTGCTTCACGGCACGATCTACCTGGGTTCGATTCTTGACTTGGGCGCGATTCTGTGTGAATGTGCGTATGTTCTCCCCTTTGACCTGCATGGGTTTCCCCCAGTTGTTTGCGGTTTCTTCCCACAGCTATAGAAATAAAGATGGAAATTGGTACTCTTTGGTTCTTTCAGTAGAGTCACATAAATATCAAATAAATCACGTTTCGGGCGCAACACAAGCATCCGTCATCAGGTGATCAGGTCGTGATTTATTTTATCATATACCCTGACTTTACCGAAAGAAGCAAAGAGTATGGATTCCTACAGTCACGAAAGCTTCAAATCAAGATTGAAATTGGTGTCGGACAAAACATCCCAATTTAGCGGGACCCTCTAGAAAGAGTATTCTCACTCAGCCTGGCTTTGCTGTGTAAATAAGTAGAATGAGCATTCCTATCACAGCTTGCTTGCAGATGGGTGGGTGGAGTGACGGCTCATGAGACAACTAGAACACAGCTGACAAGACAGCCTTCCCCAAAAGGCTGCTTCAGCCAACGTGAGGGCACCAAAACCTAGTGCCCCCTCAAAGGTATTGATGGAATCTCGCCCACGTGTCTGCTTTGCACATGTCCACAGTGGTTGTTGCAATCGTCCAGGTCGTGTCCAGTGCCGAGGCAGATGAATCTGGAGGGTGAAGTCCCTGATAAACACGTCGTGGAAAGGCTCGGAGTGCAACCGCATGGTAAAGTGTAACCACGGGCTATAGTCTGGTGATGTGCTCGCCGCCACGAGCTGCTGGAATAACCGACACCCGGAGTGAAACAACCTCTGATTTAAATCTGGACTTAAAGCTTACGTGACTGAGGGAATTCATATTCTTTGGGTCTTTCGGTAAAGTCACTAAGATAGGTAGATAGGTTATTTTCTTTGAACCTATCTACGTGACTTTACCGAAAGACCCAAAGAATATGAACCTCTAAATTGTCATCAAACACAAACACGTCAATGATTTCCTGCTCAAATGCGCAGAGGGCGTTGCCCACCTCCACGTAACAGCTCTGGAGCCAGTGGTGTAAATTAAAAATTCTTACGGTGAGGACTATTCTGTCCACAGGTCAGCCGCTGCCGATTTCCCCAGTGGCACTCATTTTTTATCGACCCCAGAGGGATGACTGGACCGAGTTAACCTCCAACCAGGACGTGAACTCACCACCGTCTTGATTGCCAGCCGCTCGCTCTAACGCCGGGTCAACTAAACTGTGCCCGAGAGCTAAAGATGAACTTCGCCTACCTCAGGCGCTGAGGTCACTAAAGCAAGGAAAACGATGGGAGCCTTTCAGATAACTCTGCATGCCACAGTGCAGAGAAAAAATTTGTCGTTTCTCTTTGCTGGGTTCCGTCTAGATTATTTTGCTGCTGTAAATTTCCACGTGATAAGCCCACTTCATTGAGCTATCATTTGTGGCCAATTCGCTTTGGAAAAAGAAGCTAATAGCTCAGTGAGTTTTAGCTGGTAAGAAACAAAATAGTTGAGTTTTATACTGGTGGGAACTTCCTGGTTCCACCAGCCCACAGGGGATTATTGTGTCCGTCCGTCGTGCATCAAAAATGGGAGGGGTGGGGCTGGGCGGAGAGGGGAGGGTGGGGAGAAGCTGGGTGGGGAGGGTGGGGAGCAGCTGGGTGGGGGGTGGGAGGGGTGGGGCTGGGTGGGGAGGGGCTGGTCACCCCGTGGTGCCCTTCTAAAACTCAACGTTTAACCTACTCACACCGGCTTGTGCCCACCCCCCTCAGTCGGGCATATTTGCGGAATACACCACGCCGCCGTTGACCCTGGCCATTGACCAAGCAACCCAACGTTCCTACCAGCTCCCTCCGCAGGAATGTGTTTGCTATATATTTTTTTGTGATTTGCTCACCTTTCTTATATTGTGCACTCTTATCGTGTTTTTGTATTGTTTGTTGTTGTAACGTTCTGACCGAACCCTACCGGACATCTTTGAGAGAGAGCTTTGTAGCTAGTCAGATTCCTCCAGTATATTTTGATTCTGTCGCTCTGCTACACCAATGACTGCCCAGCGATTCCGTGGTAAGGTTCATGTCAAAATGTTTGAGATTCAAAAACGTATGGAGGATTCATGGCAGATTATGCTCATGTGATGGATGTGGAGTGCCAAACATTAAATGCAGGAAAAAAACAGAGAAACAAAGCACAACTCAAATAAAAATAAACAATTACTATATTAGGCATGTGATGTTACTGTACTCTCAAAACGGGTTGGAAATGCAGCAGCTGTGACGAATGGACTGATTGCAAACTAAAGTGAACTTTAAACCCATCCCTTGTTCGCATGACCATAAAACTCTCGCCATGAATGGCGCAAATTCACGTGGAACGGTGAAGACGGAATACGAAACAAAACACAAAAAAATGTGCCATTCGAAATGTCGTGACCTGTAAATGTTTTTATTGTTACAAAGCTTGTTAAGCGAACGTTAAATTAAAACCTAACAATCTTCTTTGGACCTCCACCAATGGAGACAACAATTTCATGTTTTTTGAGTTGTTTTAAATTTTTATATTTTTTTCTTCTTTTTTTTACATTTTTCTTTGTCGCACGTTCACAATTTTTTAGTTTATGCTTGTATCTTCCCCCACCCTGCCCCCGGTAAATATTGAGCTGAAACAATAAAAACGCACACCACCACACAAACCGTGTTAACATTTACAACGCTATCCGCTCGCACATTTGCCGCAAATAAATATCGCTCGGTATTTTCGAATACATCGCACAATCCAAAAGGGTGCATCACAAGCCTTGTAACTTTGTTTTCTGGGCGAACAAAAGCGGGGGATGCAGCATTTGCAACGATGATGCGAGTGGTGGGGTGTATAGCGTGGGTATGCCCTGGCATCGCACAATATGCCACGCTAGCGTGGAAGAGGTCTTAACTATAAAAACGATTTAAAACATATTTACTAGTTAAGGCTCACCGAGCCGTATAGCTCTTTTTCAGAAGCGATCTGACCACAAATGATAGCTCAACTAAGTAGCTTATCGCGTGCAAATTTATCGCAGTAAAACAATCTAAGCAAGACAAACGCTTGCCGATTCTAAATGTGGAGGGTAAAACCGGAGGACCCGGAGAAAAATCCACTTGACCACGGGGAGACACGCAAACTCCAAATATGAAGCAGGCGCCAGGGAAGGGTTCGAACCCACAACCTCCTGTATACCAGGCGAGGTACTTAAACATCTCCTAGCCACCGTGGCTTCCCCCTTCGAGCACAGGGCCCTCCACCAACAGTTGCGTAAGCTAAGAAAAGCAGGGCTGCACCTTTACTCATTTAAAATCCTAAAAACGAGCATTACAGCAACAGCAATAAACAAAGGGAGTCATCAGCACACGAGTGTAGCAATTAGCGCCGCCACAGCTCGCTCCCAAAATAATCGAGCTCATGTCACGCTCAACCACGTCTAATGTATCGCAGCGCAGGGCAAGCGGGCTATATATAGTGCCACTCATTAGCCTGCCAAACGTAACGCCATCACCATTATCAAGGGGGCAGACAGATTCACAGCTCGGCGTGGGCGTGCCGAATCGCTGACACACACACGCGCGCGCGCGCGCGAGCGTGCACCAAAGCGTCTCACGTTTCATTTCTTCTCATCCTCGTCATCGTCTTCATCCCCCTCTTCCTCCTGGCCATCCTGAGACAGAGCACAACTCTGTCAAGGGGGAGTTCTCGCACATTCACGTCAGGGAAAACCGCCAATTGCAAAGTGAAGCAAACTTGGCCATACCTTGGGCTTCCCGTACACAGATTGGCAAAGGCTAATTTAACATTTTCTCCCACAGGCATACACCAATATTATTTGTGTCGATAACACAAGTAGCACTTCATGGGGAAGTCAACAATAGTTGATACATGGATCGACTTAACCCTGCCACAAGAATTCAGAAGCTGCACCACTGGCACAGGGCTGTAAACAAGAGATGAGCGTCGCCTCAATGCTTCTTTGAGCAAGCCAACACCAGTTTAACACGAAGGCTTTCGCGACCAATATTATTCATAATCAACGTTTTTGGGTTTAGATCGCGTTATTTATAAATGTGTCGTAACCCTCCACCACCCGACACGGCCAATCAGCAAAAAAAGTGTCACGTTGACAAAAGACAAAATAGTTCACTGCTTTAGCCCACCGGTGTGTTGAAGTGTGAAACCACAACATTTACAATTTGTGAGTACGACGTTTCGCTGGTAATTGTATCCAGCATCATCGGGCAATTCGCCAGAATGGTGAATTCTGGCAGTGAACTATTTGTCTTTTGTCAACCTGACTTTTTTTGCTGATTGGCCGTGTCGGGTGGTGGAGGGTTACGACACAATTATAAATAACGCGATGTAATCCAAAAACGTTGACTATGAAGCAAACACCAGTCTGCACACAGTGAGAGTCAAGACATTTCTGCATAGCTCTTGTCGGTCTCCACGTGTAAGGGCAGCTATCTTACCTCGTCATCTTCTTCCTCCTCCTCTTCATACTGCAAATAATAACGTACAGCAACGAGTCAAACGATGGTCGAATACTGCCACTCGCCACCTTAAATTACAATTTCAGATGGATGTCGTGCGTAAACATAACCGTATCTCAACATGATGATCGTGACAATCATGATGATGACGACGAAAGATATATTCGGAGCCAAGGCGCTCGTGCTCACCTCCTCCTCATCCTCGATGGCCTCTCCCGTGAAATAGAGCACTGCCCTTGGCACCACGCGTTCTCGGAAAAAATGTCCGATCTCAAAATCGGCCGTCAGAATCACCTCCGAGTCCTCGTCCTGAGCGGCGCGGGAAACACAAAGGGAAAAAATGGCTCAGCGAGGTATAAGAGTTCACCTTTCAAGTTTATTTTGTTTATCCAGGTGAGAACATAAGATAGACCCAGATATAGTCTTATTTGCAAGAGTAGCCAGGCACATCAGTCTGCCTGTAGGGGGCAATGCCTGCTATGCACAATTCTATTTGTGTAATGTGTGGGTAATGTAAATTTTTTTAAAATATATATACGCACCCCGATACCAGCACACAGCAGCCTAATCGGGGACTTTTAACGTCTGCTGTGAAGCTGACAGTGAGCATTTTTATGCTCGATGCACCCGCAGTATTAACTGGAGCGGCTACTAGATTTCGAACCATCAACCCCTGCAATAAGCGTGCTACCTAGAGGCCATGCCTGAGACATGTGCCTGAATTGACGCAGCAATAGCAGGAGCAGACGGGACCCCAAAGGTCGTGAGACCAAACGATTGAGGGATGGCCATGATGCATAAGTTGACAAGTGCAGTTATTCATCGTTCATCACAAAAGGACCAAATAGAATTGGGTAGAAGCTACTCAGTAGAACATGATATATAAGCAATCCTAAACCTTGTTGGTTTGACAGTCCCCTACTAAAGAACACTGGTTACTCGTCACAATGTGCAGAGGGATCACATGTCCACACTTGTAGAATACAGAGTAATTCAGGCATATGTTCATATTTTTAATCGGAGTGCTTTGTGTGTTGTTCACTGCGACGTAGCGCAAACATTTTCCGTGTACAACTGAAATTTCTCCTGCACGGTATCCATGCCAGAGCCTGCATCACCCCCCCAACCCCCCGCCGTGGTTTGTGCCCCAAGGGGTGAGGAACCACCGCTCTATATCGTACAGAATTACATTGCATTGCTTTACGTAACGTGATGTAACACCCAGCCAAATGACCAATCACACCGGCTTGTTTTAAGCGAGCTCCGTTTCTGTGTCGGTGTCGCTGCTGCTTTGTCAATGAGTCGAGAAAATATCCTGCGTTTTTTTGCCTTCCGAGATCCATGGGTGCATAAACGCTGTTCGTGAGCTAGCACGGCACATGAGGAGGGTGCGGTGTGGCCAACACCACACGCACGCACAGCTTTGTCGCCACATGACAATGATGGGTACAATATTGTATCTTGTTACTCATTTTAGAAGAACTTATCAAGGTATAGACACCATAGCACAGACACCTCACAACTAATTAATGCCTCACGTTTTAGATGAGAAAATACGCACACACACACACGTGTGCGTTCGACAATCTGGGCAGATAGCTACGAATGCAATTCTTCTGGGGAACAAAATGCGTCTTAACATTGCCATCCAATTTCACATCACTTAACCATCTAACATGTGCAACTATTTGGGACAGAGGTCCAAATGCTGCAGGCTTGAATGACAGACCTTTGAAATCCATAAAATAATTTTGCAGTCTCACACGAGAAAATTTGAATGTGGTTCAAGTTTGCAAAGTTATACATCACCGTCAATCGTAAATACCTGTACCTTTGTCCTCAACACTGCCTTAACGACGTAGTAAAGATAACAGCCATTTCCTCTTTCAAAGATGTTTTTTATTATTATTTTAACACGACTGCTTCAAGTTTCCTCTGTTGAAAGGCCAGCGTGGCCTTGAGGCATAATGTACATCTCGCCATGGTGGCGACATGTTAACTACCTCGCCTGGTGTACAGGAGGTAGTGAGTGCGATCCCGACTCTGATGCCAGTATATTTTGCGTGTCTCTCTCCCCATGGCCACGTGGACTTTTCTCCGAGTCCTCCAGTTTTTCCCTCCACATTTAGAATCAACATTTGGCTGCTATAAATTTCCATATAAGCGACTTTGTCGTTCTAGCATTTGTGCCCAGGTCACTTCTAAAAAAGAGCTATAAAGCTCAGTGGGCCTAACCTGGTAAAATACAAAGTTTAGTTTAGTTTTATAAAGTCATTCGCTAAAACTGCTCGTCCAAAAATGTATTTGGAGGATTGAAATAATGAGCCGGGTATAGTCATAATAAAAATTCCAACCATTCTCAATCAATGAAGGCCTTCCCAAGCCATGTCGCTCATGAGAGTTGTTTTTACCATACTTCACCACACTGGGAAATGTTGGGGGGTGAGAAGGCAGAACCTCCTCCTGATATCGCACTGTCAGAGATGTTTGCCATGGCCAGGAATCAACCTCACGTTGGCGGGTGCATAGGGCAGTGAATGTATCACCAACCCCCACATCCTTAAATAGTTTTTAAACGCAGGGATCCACCGACCATCATCTCCCAAGCGTGGGATTACGTGTGCACACCACCACCACGCCCAGTCGCAAATTCTTGCACCGATAAATGACCTTGCAGCGCCGCTAATCTCCCCGCTGAACGTTCCTTTAAGAGCATTTCCCCAGCGATCATCTACTGGCATTCCATCAAGCGAAGACGTGTCTGGTCAAAATCCACCCAACAGCGAGCTCGACAACTCGAATTATTATCTGCTCTGCGGCCCGTAAACTTGTCATATTTACAATTCCACCGATTGTTACCAACCATAAATGTGAAAAAGACAGGAGCAGATTTTTTTTATAAATGTTCAAGAATCAGAATCTTTATTTATACTGGAGGAATCCGATGGGCTATGAAGCTCTTTTCCACAGATGTCCAGTAGCGTTTATGTAAAATCACAACCACACAAGGGCACGAGTTTCTGGTGGGCATTAAAAGATAAAGTGATTTCCTGCTCAAATGAAACACTGAGGCGGTGCTCTGCTGTTCACAGCCCAGAGCCGGTGGTGTAAATTCCACATTCCTATCATGGGGATGAGTCTAACCAGAGGAGAACCACTGGTGACTTCCCCATTGAGCGGCACTTATTTATCGGCAACACAGGAACGATGGGCTGGGATAAACCCAGAACCAGGATTTGAACTCGCAACGGTTATGATTTGCGAGTCGATGGAGGTACAGTCATCCAGGTATTCATTGCAGCGCAAGTATGTACGTTTAAACTTTTTGTCGCACCGTACGTAGCCAATCGCGTTCATTGGAGGTGCGGGGGAAGGGAATCGGAGGTGCAGGGGAAGAAATTGGAGGTGCGGGGGAAGGACAACAAAAATAACCTAAGAGAATGCTACGGCAGTTAAACATTGCGCAGAGCAACAACGTGTTCACGGATTGGTCCCTCTCTCATTGACTGTCAATGCTGCAAAATGTTCTCTTGCCCCACAAAATCTTTAAATACACGGTGAATACCAGATATGTGATCCTTAGCTTAAACACACAGAATATCCATCATCCAACCTAAAAAAAACTTTACCAGATATCGTTACACAGGAAGTTTGCGGTTTCATAACTTTTTAGTGACACTAAAACAGCTATTCTAGAGGTTAATGCCCAACTAAAGAAATTGCGGAAGTCTTCCGCGAGGTTAGCCACCCCTTTACACTCCTGACAATACGACGTCTCAAAAATATATTAACCGAACGCACAGCAACAGCAGCGTGTGTGCAGTCAATTACTTGTGTGAATCATCGCAAAACTCAATGTCTAATCAGGGCATTCGCATATTTCTACCAACCTCTACTTCAAATCCAAGTACAGCTCTGCCATTCAGATTGGTGGCTTTTCCGATAGGGTTTATTGCACAACCGAAAGCAGTTAATCTCCGCACGGTGCGAAGTTCTTTTGCGCTGAGCGGATGGCGGTTCACTGGGAGGGCACACGTTATACTGCAAGGTCACCACTTTACAACTTCTTGGCTTCAACAGAACGTCACGTCGTCAACGGAAACATTTTACAGAAAACCTACTGTGTAGGTTTTTTTGCGCCCAATGTTACGATTCATACGCGATTGTACCCTCGTGCAGCAATGCAATTCTATTTTCGCAAATGTTTTTTTAATTCTGTCTAACTAGCAACCATATTTGGAAATGATGAATGAAACATGGCTCGGAGAGATGGTCATTAACGGAAAGAGACAGAAAAACACAGAAAAGCGTGCATAGAAGCGTGGAGAAATGCATGATCGGAATTACACCGAGACACGGAAAAAGCAATGCGTGGATTACACAACATCCGCGTGTTAAAGACGGCATGAAAACTATAACAGTAGGTATACTATAAACTACATTTTATTTTACCAGGTAATGCCCACTAACATATAGAGCTCTATTTCAGAAGCCACCCGGCCACAAACGATAGCTCAACAAAGTGGCTTGTCTGGAAACTATAGCAGCCAAAAGCTCTAAAACGCATATCCTTAGGTTTTTTCGGTAAAGTCACGTAGGTAAAAACATTAAAAAGTAAAATAAAATAAAAATCACGACGTTTCGGAGGCAACACAAGCTTCCGTCTTCAGGTGGTACCGTCACAGCCACAACAGCTGTATCAAGTAAATGAGAGATTTCAGGAGTTACTTGATACAGCTGTTGTGGCTGTGACGGTACCACCTGAAGACGGAAGCTTGTGTTGCCTCCGAAACGTCGTGATTTTTATTTTATTTTACTTTTTAATGTTTTTACCTACGTGACTTTACCGAAAAAACCTAAGGATATGAATCATTGCAGTCACGAAAGCTTCAAATCTAGAACTCTAAACCGCATGTTTATTCTAAATGCGAAGGAGAAAACCAGAGAACCCAAAGAATAATCCACACGCCCACGGGGAGAGACGTGCAAACTCCAAATATACAACAGGCGTCAGGGTCGGGTTCGAACCCACAACCTCCTGTATACCAGTCGAGGTAGCAGCAGTGACAACTGACAATGCTCAAGAATAGCAATGGGGTGGCAGCCAAGGAATGGAACGCGCCCAAATGAACGTCCACTGCGGATATGGCACAAAGATACCAGTGTTTGTGTTGCAGGTGCCAAGTTCATCATTACATCGCAGGACCGAGAGAGATGGTGGCGGCTTGACGCCTTTTGCTACAAGTCGAATGATCGTGGCTGCTGCCGATGGCAACGAGTGGTTGTTCTAGTTGCAGGAGTTGGCAACCCCGCGGCGTTGGAGCCGAATGCAGCGGGCCTCTTTCAAGGACCGTTTTGTCATGTTATTTATTAAAGACCACCATCTCGTATTCACCACGTGCAAAAAATACCTCAGTCATTTTGTAAGTGAAAAAAATACTGGCAAACGTGTGTGTCTCCATAGGGAATTGGCAAGTAAATGCAGTGTATAAAATGTTCAAATTAAATGAAAAATTATCGCCTTGACTTCTAAAAACGAAATATAACCCCCACAAAGGAAAACCAAAAAATAGAAAAAAAAATAACTTACCAGCTCTTCTCCTTCAGCCACTGTAATGAGAAACAAAAACACCCAACAATAGAAGTTAATATGTATAATACGATTACTACCACCGCCACCATTACAATGGGGCTTGTAAGATTCTTAGCAAATAGCCCACTGAAAATATAAAGACCACAGCCTGTAATAAAACTAGCTTCTCAAGTGCAGTGAGCTGATTGGTCTAAGCCTGCCCACCAATGACTGCAAAAAATAAACATTACATTATATGTATTTCCACACTTAATTTGGATAAATTCAGACTTCAAAATATCAGTGTGACCATCTTGCAATGGACATTAACCTCACGCAAAGCGGTGGGAAAGTGCTGCCCCCTACTGTGTGGAACAGAGGCCATTCATCCACGCACCAACCCAGAGATTGGACGTGTGTGTTCTCTGGGTGAATGATACTAATGTGTCACACGTGAAATATTGTCTCTCAATTCGGGGTGGGAGAAGGGGGCACTGTCTTGGCTAAAAACACTTAGCGGAAGCGGGGACGACTCTCTGGATTCGACTAAATGCTCAGCCGCCTCTGGTCTGCAGCACTCCGTCAATTCAAGTCTGGGCGCCGGTAGCTGTGTACTTTTGTATCAGATCCACCCACCTGCCCACGTTCGCCCACGTGTGTACGGGCGTGTACGTGCCTGTGTGTGTGTACGTGCCTGTGTGTGTGTACGTGCCTGTGTGTGTGTACATGCCTGTGTGTGTGTACGTGCCTGTGTGTGTGTACGTGCCTGTGTGTGTGTACGTGCCTGTGTGTGTGTACGTGCCTGTGTGTGTGTACGTGCCTGTGTGTGTGTATGTGCCTGTGTGTGTGTACGTGCCTGTGTGTGTGTACATGCCTGTGTGACAAGCGTCGTGGTGACGTCACCGCCAGTTAGTGGCGAATGGCGGTTGTTGTTGTTGTTGTGTATATGTGTGTATATGCCTGAGATCAACTCAGCCTCAAATAAATACCCGGTGTTGTATGTAAACATTGCCCAATGGGGAGACAAAGGTGCCTGGGCTTGGTGCTGGCCACCCACTCCCCTCTCGTGTGCCGTGCTGGGCTTCATAGATGCCACTCGCTAACAGCACTTGCCTCAACAGTCTGTTAAGGCTATGCGGGGGATCTTTGTCTTTGCGTGCCCATACCTTGCGGGGGGTTAAAGAAGTTGAAGAAGGAGTCGTTGGGCACGGTCTTGGTGAGCGTGCGCACCGTGCCACGGCCCTTGTGCTTCTGCTTCTTCTTGATCACCTTCACCGTCACGTCCTTGCCCTTCTTCCAGTCGATCTGGGACCTGGCGACAGACCCGTGCACAGGTGGCTCATCGTGAGCGCGAGCGGTCTGCGGGGCTCAAGTTCGCAACAGATGTTATTTGACACCATTATCAAATACCATGCGAACATGGCAGCATGTTGAACCTCACCAAAAGGAAGGATAGACGGCACATGCACTGGACGGTGACGGCATATTTTCACAGACGATCGATGCATTTGTACAACGAAATGCAGCGCCGTAATTATATATACAGCAGTTGTACCGATCATTGGTGGACCTAGTACTGCAATGTTTTTGGCCGAGTCGACCTACGGGCGGTCCCAACCAGTTTCAGATCCCAATTGCCGATGATGTGCAGGCGAAGAATCTCATGCAGCTGCCTGGTTTGAAGAATAATATGCAAACCCCTACATCTCCGATTTATGTAAAAACAAAGTCACAATGGTGCAACTAACACCATGCCCTTCATCCCCAGCATTTAAGCCCGAGTTGACTTCGGGAATAACCCAAAACAGGTAAAGAAACCACTTGCCTCTGGTGTCAACAGCTTGAGGGATTTGAAACAGTGTGCCAATCACATGCATTAACACACACACACCAAAATGCAAGAATTTTAATCCACCTTTGTTTGGGATTTAATTTTAAATACAAGCAGCCCGTACGTAATTTGGACTCGCATGTCCTTTGCTCAATGGGTGGTCGCTGGATGGCCTTCTTCCAGCAGTGGATAGATCTTGGCTAACGATGAAAATTTTGATGGATCGTGTAGCCAACGCTTCACTCTTTGGGCATCTGGTGAAAAGGCGTGTCTAGACACGGATAGGCAGCCGCATCCTAATGCAGTCTAAGCGTACGTTGACACCTTCGCTAAAAAAATACCACCCACACATCTATCTATGTCACTTTACAGCCACGCTTTGCAGATAAGGACCATTTGTTTTGCCAAGCTCTTATCACCTCTTGTTATCACCGGATTCCAATTGAGGTAAGCAACCCGGGGACATCTCTAGAGGGCTCGGAGACCCAGGCAGCCGAGGGTGGTGCGCGTTGCTATTCAGCGGAGCAATGCGGATGATTATGTGCCACGACTGCTTCGATCTATCCCTCTGTGCCATCATCCGACTACCCCACCGCTACTTTCACCTCATGTACTATAAGCGCATAGCCGACTTCTGGATGGTGCATGCTCAAAAAAACACACCCACGCGCACACACACATTGCAGCTGGTATTGGCCCAACATCCCATTGCTGAAACTGTTCCTGCAAATTGCTCAATTGGGATCCCCGACTGCAACTACTTGGCAGGACTTTCCTGAAAATGAGCCTTGAGATTCGGTGAGCCTCTACTGCATAACAATAATTAATAACATGTCCAACCCTTCTTCTTGGTTCTTTCGGTAAAGTCACGTAGAAGGGAAGTAATAAAATAATAAAAATAAAGCATAATAAAATCATTCTCACGACGTTTCGGCTACAACGCAAGCAGCCGTCTTCACCTGAGGACGGCTGCTTGCGTTGTGGCCGAAACGTCGTGATAATTATTTTATTAGGTTTTATTTTTATTATTTTATTATTTCCCTTCTACGTGACTTTACCGAAAGAACCAAGAAGATTAATCCCTACAGTCACGAAAGCTTTAAATCGAAATGTCCAGCCCTCTTTGTTAATCCACTGCTGGATGAGGTACTCCCCATCCACACTGTGCAATTCGTGGAGGCTTATACTCTTTGGTTATTTCGATAAAGTCACGTAGGTATAAAAAAAAATATTGTTTATAGCTACGTGACTTTACCGAAAGAACCAAAGAGTATTGATCCCTGAGGTCACGAAAACTTCAACTCTAGATCATGGAGGCTTATTTGGCCATACTTCACCACGCTGGCCAGTGTGGGCTGCCAAAGGTGTGGAGCACAGAATATGAGTACGACAGTGGATTTTGTCACATTGCCCTCTGGTGACCACTGTATGGCTCCGTAGTAGTTCAAGTTCATTAATTAGGTATAGCCCTGTGAGCCATTCGGCTCTTGAATCTGGTACAACCGCAACAAACAAAAAACAAAAACACGAACAAAAAACATCTTAAAGTGACTATGTGACTAAGTGCAAACAGAAAATCCAAGAAAAGACAGCAAAACATTGCAGAAAAAAAATCACCGTACACCAACGCTGTGTGCAAAAATCCCAGTGGGATGCAAGTCAAACAACCAACAACAACCACAAGACAACTTTGATTAAGGCCATCTCTGTACTACAACAAACAAACATGGCTAAACCAATACACTTTTCGAAATCACCAAAATAAAGCCATGAAAGCAATGAAACAGTGATCATAGGAACTATAACAACGAGCCGTGCATGATAGGTCGCCATCCAAGCTATATCCAAGGCTCAACCCCCCCTCCTTTGCTACCGAGACCTCAGGAGATGAGGCGCATTCACAGGCAATTCGGTCACAGGCCTCAATAGTAGATGCAGGCCAAAAAAACCCCCACCAAACATCGATTACCTTGTGGAAATGCACAAATTATATGCTTCCTGAGCTGTCAAGCCAAAGTTGGCAGCTTCGCAAGAGAAAAAAATACTTTTAAATCACCATCAGATGACCCATCATTTTTGTATAGTGCCATTGGTATAATTACATATTAACACCTAGAGAAGCAATGTAAAAGTGACTTCATAAGAGTGATAACGTGCCTCATGAAGATTTAATCTCCTAACGGAAAACCCGCAATGCAGATAGATACGCATTTACAAGAGCAAACATGTTATCTGGGTTATAAGACATTCCGGAGAGTAAGATTACACCACAGACGTGTGTCCGGCATCAATAAAGTTATACACATTTGACCACACACGCAAACGACTTCCAGATTATAAGACACACCAATTCCCTCCCACCCCCTAAACCTCTGATTTATATTATAATCCATAGCACATGCTATTTGTTTTGTGGCATGCACCTTGTTTAAACAAATAGACCCATTACAAACCTTTATGAAAGGCTGATGATTAATAATGATACAAGTTTAAGCCTGCAAAGGCTGCTCATGCACATCTCTATTTGCACTACTGGATTCCTGCAGAAGCAATCGATCTGTGCCGACAGTCTGCTGCCAAAACACAAATCTCCACTTCTAGGATGTGTCAACTGATCGTCTGCTGACAGCTGGCTTCCCAATGCTCTCAGCCCTTGAGCGTTCCTCTCACCTGCGCTCAATAAAGAAGTGAATGCCGAATATGAATCGTCCTGTCACGAAACTTCCCCGACTGTTTCTGCACCGTCCCGTTTGACTGCCACTCAAGAAGACGGACTTCAGAACGTACGAACGGAAGGACCCCATTTCCACCATCCCGAATTTTCTGAGAGCTCGGTCAGCTCAAGCATTTCGCTACGGCTTCTGTAATAAGTAAGCACGGTTGAAGAATGTATGTAGAATGTATTTCGCACCGTACATAGCCAACCGTGCTAATCGGAGGTGCGGGGGAAGGACAAAAATTACATTTAGAAGCACGACCGATTTAAAATGCATGCAACAAGTCTGCTTAACCAGTTTCGTGAGTACACGTGTATGAAATCTACGTCTGAAATTGTACAACTACCCTCGAGGTAATTTAATGCTCACGCAAAAGCACCCCCCAACCCCTGCCCACCCCCTCCTAAAGTTTTCGCTCTGGCGCACGCGATCCATTCAACGTCGCTTAAATCGCAGTGCAATGCACACGGCGACCAAAACTATTGTTAGCACCCGGGAACAATAGATGCGGCACACACCCACCAGGACCCGAGCGTGCAACACAATGCGCTCACCGGGGGCCGAATTTAACTGGGCACAACAATTCTGATTCCCCTTATTTATTTCAATTCTTCGCTGGCTCGCTCGCATGCTTGCTTTTTTTTGGGTCTTTTCTTTCCTACGTGTTTTCGGCCGAGAGGCTTAAAAGCGTGTGTCCCCTCCAAAAATTGTGTCGATGTCACGCTTGCGTTAAAACGTCGGGGTTGCAAAATGTGTTTTCACCGCGATGAAGACCCCCGCGCAAAAAAATTGCAGCTTCAGTTGTTTAAAGTCAACCCAGGTGGGATTACTTTTTGTCGGACGAAGACGGTTGGCGTTGCAGGCGCTCGCGAGCCCAATGTTAGTCGTGGCACGGGTGTACAATGGCCAACTCTTGCTAATAATGTCATCAAAGCTTTAGCACCAGAAATGCCACATGACCGTCATCCGAAACGCTTCCAGGTCGTACCGCAAGTTCTCTGGCACAACGCGCAACGTGCCGCCCCACGTTCTGGGGAGCTTCTTCTCAAAAATACTAAATTCCATCTCTTAAGTTCCTGAAGAAGCTCCCACACACATGGAGCAAAACATCATGCCAAATAAAACAGGTATAAATTGAAAACATGTAGCAAAGCTGTACAGCAAAACTGAAAAAACCTAGACAGACGACTGTCATTAACTAGCGGTGTACGAGCGGAAAACACTTGGTAGGCTAATGTGTTCGGCTATGGTAGCTAGACGTAAGGAAAAGGGAGGAGTCAGGATGTGTTGCCTTTAAAAGAGTGGAAAATCCACATTCTTATGGGGAAGAGGACCAGTGACTATTACAAGACAATCATTGCTCATATCGCATGCAAGGAGAAACCCATTGCATTGGCAGTGCAGCAATTAACTTCTGACCAAGATTTTAACTCGACTTTTAAACTGAAAGACAAGTGGTCTAACCACAGTACCACCCAGATAATTATAGGAAAACAATTCTTGAATAATAATTTTAAAAATCCATTGCCACCCCCACAAAGTTATTTTTTTTTTATTATCAGGACATTTTTGGCATGCCCACACCTTTAAGCTTAAGTATTGCAAGCGTAAGATAACATTTAATATATGGATTGGACCATTCATATTTCTCTTGTTTAATTCATAAAATAAAAGCCCTTCCTCAAAGTTGGGGTATTTTAAAATCACAACATATGTTTCATTAGTATAAACCGCCAGCATGCATTATGGGTTTCGGTTACATGGCAGCATTCCTCATAATGGTAGCGAGTAAGTACACCACTGTCAAAGTAGTCCCATTGGGGAGGCAGTCATGTGGTAAAGTGCTGTGGACAAACCGCATGGTACCCTTGACCTGGTGGGGGGAGGTGTGGGGGTTCAGATCACGCTACACGCGATAGCTTTTATACGATGTAAGGCGAAGTTCACAAAAACCATCTGGTGCCAACCACCCCCTAAAACAATGGAGCACACTCAATCCAAATCTGCACGGGCCCAAGCGAGATGCGGTCACCACCTTCATTGGTGGCCGCTACACAAAGAAGGGCTGAAATGCAACGGCGCTGACTGACCCGGACCAATGTGAAAACCACATCGTAAACAGCCATCAATTTCGTCAATTCAACGAACACACAGCAGCGATTCATTCAGGCTCACCTATGGCTGTCGTGTGGCTTTCAAACTTGGATATCAATCTTTGAGTTGCTATTCATTAAACCAGTGGTTTCCAACCTCAGAGGGACCCCGTGAACCAGTCAACCCCTCACACTGTTTTTACGGACCCACCATGCGGCAATAAAATATTTTTCAAAATTAAAAGTACCCCAAGTGCACCGTAAAATGTTCATTAATGGAGTCATCAAAAACTAGTAACTTGCGTTTTATCGCGTTCCAGAAGGATGTTTGTCTTTTAAAGGGCTCAGATAGAACATATTTATAAACTAAAAACTAAACTAGTGTATTTTACGAGTTAAAAGCCCACGGAGCTATTAGTTTTTTTAAAGAGGTGGCCGGGCACCACATGAGAACAAGCTAACTCCAAATATCCAGGCGTCACGGTCGGGATCGGATCCACGACGTCCTGCAAACCAGGCAAGGAAGAAGAAATAACACCTCGCCACTGCAGCACCTATTGGATGTAATTAAGGGCCAAAAAGAACTTGAAAAAGCTGAAAAAAATATATTTTTTATTTAGCTTTTGATAAAGACTGCCATTACACCCATTTCTGTCAATTATAAAAATACACCAGGGGTTGACATTTGCAGACAAAACTACCGTGCGACTGCCTGTAATAAGACTCCAATGCCCGGGGCATTTTTTTTTTTACAGATGTACGTCAATGCAGTTTACTTAATGACCCCGCTTAAAACTTAGGAATTTCTCTTTTGCGGAGATCATAAAAAGAAAAAATTTGCTCGAAAAAAGGTCTGAGACAAAAAAATAAGTCTCTCCTTCCTAAGACAAAAATGTGTTTTTCTGGCTTATTTCGTTTTTATACCGGCCGCAAAGTGGCTCAGCGGATAGAGCGTGTTGCTGTATCTTCTGAATAAGACTCAGCCCTCAAACTTGTGCCTAGTGTCAATAAAGTAATACACATCCTGTTACGCACACACACAACTAAAGGATTTAAAAATGCACCCCCCAAAATTTTTATCCTAAAATACAGCAGAGAAATTGGTGCGTCTTATAATCCTGAGAATACAATAGTAGAAATAAGTAAAAGGAGCAGCGGTTATGATTTTAATTAGACATTGTGAAAGAGCGGTAATGGGCTTGCTCTATGGAGACAACAATCTTCAACTCATCGGTGAAGGAAAGGGGAAGGAAGGGGACTGCAATTACATGTGATATCTGTAATAACATCACTCACACGAAAGGCGGCAATTCACTTAGTCTCAACGCTGTCGACCGGAACGCCCGTCTCGTGTCTCCAGCACACAACAGCGGTGGCCAACCTGGAGCAGTGCACGCTCGCGCTCGTCTGGCTGCAGGTTACGTAACCACACCGCGGAGAGGGTAGTGGAGGGAGGCAGGGCTTGGACTTCGCGTGCGGACAATGGGACTGAACGACATGGCACCCCCCCCCCACCCCCGGGCGAGGATTTGGCGTCGCGTGCGATCGGAAACGCTCCACTCCTTCAAAACAACTGTGGTTGCGTGCAGGGATCGCCTGAGCGGTGGCGACGTTCAGGGTTGGGGGGTGGGGGGAGGGGTTGTGACGTCAAAGCCAGTTTATGTTCGGCGGCGGCGGGCCCGTGAACGCGCCGGTGCTGGTCGGATGCACACTGCGGTCAAGAATTAACACTTCACAACAAGAGAAAATTGCCCTAATGACAGGACACGCATCACAAAGGGCTGCGCCGTTGAGCTGTACGAATTCACGTTGAACTTCTTTCGCAGCGTACGTAGCCAAGCGTGCTAATAGGAGGTGCGGAGAGCTGTGCCAGAGCTCGTTCGTGAAAGCGGTGGGAGGCTTTTTTCTCTCAAACTCCTGTAACTAAATTCACCAAACGTCTTAACTCTCATCCATTACAACTTTGATCGTGCTGTCTGTTCCTGGCCGCTTGATGTTTTGGGCCTTTGCTTTGAGATCGTGTCAAAAAAAGGAACACCACAACTGCACTCCAGGCTTCACGGAGCTCCCCCCGTTTGTCACGACTGACGATAATACCGTGATCCTCTTTACTCAGGGTTCCATTCAATTCCTCTTTCAATTCTTTTAACCAAATACCACAAATGCGCACACCTCCACCTCTCGCTACCTTAGTGTCATCATCACCGCTCGCATATTAACTGCTGGGTCATCAACCTTGCACACTGGCACAAGCCTCAGTAGAGGTAGCAGCAATTAAAGGAGCTGCAATTTACTGCATAGTTTGGCAAGCGCCAACCCACAGTATAATAATGACCGTAGTGACAGTGGTAGTTGGATGATTAGAATTACATCACTAAATAGTTGTATTATTTATTATTACACTACTTTACCCAGAAAAGCCTCACCGAGTCTGAATACTTTTTCAGGAGGGTCCTGCGAAGTTTTTGCATTCGTGGGCACTGCAGCTATGTTTAATCCATTTTTCAGCATTGGGATGTTTGGCCAGTACCCATTACATTGCTTGTGGGGTGGGAGGGGTTAGCAAGGAGAGGAAACCGGAGAATCTGGAAGAAAACCCATGCACAAGAGAATATAAAAACTCCACACATTCACACAGACTCACACACTGCATATCTTGCAGGAACCATACAAAGGCCACACAAAAAAGAGCCCCGAGGTTTTCCTTGCTGTGAGATACAAGTGTTACTACTGCGACACCAGGCCGCTCTTACATAAAAATTACTTATCATGCCAGTGTATATGTGTAGTAAGGTTGTTAAGATAAAAAAAAATTGCATTACCAGTAACTGCATGAAAAACACCGGTGATCAGGTTTGCCAGACGTGTCTTGTAATAAACCGCTTTAGATAAAAAAAAAGGTTGCTGCTGCTGCTGCAGTGGAATGGTTAGCACGCTCGACTTTCAAACAAGTACCACACGGTGACTTAGATTGCCATCCCATTTGTACGTTCGAGGACACGCCAAACGACGGCATTCATTACTAAAAAAAATACACTGGTGAAAAATGATTACCCGTCTGGTTCCTAACCTTCAAAACCAGTGATGAATCCTGAAAACGGTTCCTGGTTAACGTTAAACTCCCCCAATCGCACGTACGCATTTACAACATGTGCACATGCATCACTCTAAAATGACAGGTAAGGGTGCATTAAAAGAGAGGAGAGGGTGCGTGTACATAGAGATAATGGTGTATAGACAGACCGGTAATGGTGTATTTACAGGGAGGTAAGGATGCATGTACTGACATGTAAGGGTTGATTGTACAGAAAGGTAAGGGTAGAATATACTCAAGGACTTGGACTGAACTCCCGCAACTCACCCTGTGCAAGAGACGATCTCGGGCCCTTCGAAGGAGAAGGGGTCGCTGGCGTCGGGCTCAGACTTCATGACGTATGTTTTTGTGAGCACAGCGTTCGTGAAGTACTCATTGGGGCTGAAGCAAAAGTCCAGCGTGAAGCTCTGTTCATGATCAAACACATGGGCACGCACGCACGCACACAAAGACAACACGCACAGCCTTTAACAGGATGTCAGGGCAAGTGATGTTAGCGAGCTCCTATCGAGGCCACCATAGCGTACTAGGGGATGGTATGACCAGCACCACACGCATGGCTCCTGCTCACTTAAGGCGGAGTTGATCTAGATCTAGGTGAGGCCCAAATGACCGGTTCAGATATTTGTCCGCGAATCTTAGCGGTGGCTGGGAATTAAACTCAGTTTGCCAGGTCTGTAGCATAGTGCACTAAACACTGCACCAGATGTCATGGGTATGCGTTTTTTCAACCGAGGCACCGATTGCTATTCGTGTAACGCATCATGGGCAGGAATGAAACACAGATGGTGGGTCAGGTCCAAAACAAGGGATGGAAACACAAAAAGCCGCCACAAAGACTTATGGACTGTCGGGGGCAAATGCCGCTGGCACTCGCCTGTTCCGGCAAGCAGCCACATGAATAAGGCTCGGCTTGGTCAGCACCACACCCTGCTACCACTATCAAATATACACGAGCACAAATTGTGGGGTGGGGGCGTTACAAACATTCATAATATAATTCTAAAAACTCTAAAAGCTATTGTAACATGCGTTGTAGCGTTCCTCATGGATAGGTAGCTTCTGAAAAATAAGTTAATATCATCAGTGGGCTTTCCCTGGTAGGATGGGGATGGTTTAGTTTTATTTGTATGTTTGTGGATGATTTGTTTACATATTCTTTGTTTAACTTTCTTGTACTTGCCCAACTATCATGTTTTTTGTATTGTTGTAACAGTATTACTAGCCCCGACTGGACATCTATGAAAAATAGCTTTATAGCACATCGAATTCCTTCAGTATGAATACATATTCAGATTCTGATTCTGTATAAAACTGAAAAAACACTGGCCAAATAATTACCTGTAACAATTGTAAACTCTCTATGGTTCAATAACTCAGTCTCAAAACACACAGGATTTAAAAATCCATGAAACCCACTCACGTGCAATCTCTCCTGACATCAAGGGATCTCACTGCACTGGGTGGGGTTACGTGTCCATTATAATTATTTGTCTTAAAATTTCACAGAAACTGGTTTTTGTGCCGTTGGCAGTTTTTTATGTTCATTTTGACGCAGGATCGAGTTTCACTCCAGTGGATGTTGGTTGCGCCCCGGTTGTAAATCCGACACACACCCAGAGCCATCCATCAGCCGCGGAACTCCACATTACGCACGCGATCAGTGCCACGGGGACCCCGCCGCCCGTCACGCGACGCTAGACCGCGCGCACCACCCGGGGCGGATGCGCAGCCGCCAAATCGAATGCATCGCCATCGCACATCACATGCACGTCCCTTGACCAATCGGGCACACCGTGACGTGAATCGCACTGCAACTACTATTTACTAAACTATTTTTTTTATTTTACCAGGTAAGGCCCACTGAGCTATACAGCTCTTTTCAGAAGTGACCTGTCCACAAATGATAGCTCAACAAAGTGGCTTAAGCGGAAATTTATAGCAGCCAAATACTCGAAAACGCATGTTGATTCTAAATGTGGAGGGAAAAAAACCTGAGGACCTGTAAAAAAATCCACGCGGGTACGGGGAGAGATACGAAAACTCCAAAAATACAGGCGTTGGGGTCGAAATAGAACCCACAACCTCCTGCATACCAGGGGAGGGAATTAACATCTTGCCAACACGGCGCCCTATGAAGATAGTGCTGTAGTATTTTTGGGGGGGATGGCCGCGAATCGATTAAACGACAGCATCGGCACAATACTCCCATCTCTCCATGGGCTCCCAATGTGATCCTGGATCAATTTCAAGATCGCACTCACCGTCTTCAAGATCCCACATGAAATTTCTCCCTGACCTACCTCCACACGCTCATCCCATCGACTCTACGCACTCTCCTACCTCTCCACTTTCATGTCACTCCACTCCCCTCCACGCACTCATCTCAATCTACTGCCCTCCAGTACAGATGACACAGACTACACTAATGAGACGGATAGTAAACAAAGGACAACATAAAAAAGACAGTAAAGACGGACAGGACAGGTAGCACAGAAGGAAAAATAAATTAATCGAGTTTAAAACTGAATAGCGATGACTCCGAATCATAACAAAAAATAGGTGCTGAGGTGGGGAGATGTTAACTCCCTCGCCTGGTATACAGGAGTTTGTGGGTTTGATCCTGACCCTGAAGCCTGTTGTATATTTGGAGTTTGCATGTTCTTCCCAGATCCTCCGATATGTCCTTCCACATTTAGAAACGTGCGTTTAGAGTATTTAGCTGCTATAAAGTTCCATATGATAAGCCACTTCATTGAGCTATCATTTGTGGCTAGGTCGCTTCTGAAAAGAGCTATAACAACTCAGTGGGCCTTACCTGGTAAAATAAAATAGATCAACGAATAGTAGTGCGGGGTGAATTGTTACATGGCTAGCGACCACGTGATTTGTGACACAGCCCCAGGGAGGCATTGCAAGTGACGCAGGCTGCCACGGCATGTAAACCGACAAATGTCCACGGTAACCTCGAGCGACTGGCAAACCTCAGTCACATCACTCCGACGCTGTCGACAATTAATATTGACGAGCGATTAATTTACAGGTCTGCTCTAACGGTAAAAAAGTGCTCTCAAAAACTGAACAGGCTTGCGGCTGTGCAAATATGGCATTTCACTTCTGTGTGCACGTCAATACTTGATGGTCTAGAAGCAAGTGTAAATTCCATATTGCTATGGTGGGGGACCAGTGCATCCATAGGATGACTCGTGTTGACATACCACGAGTTATATAATTTTATCGCGATAAGAGTTCATGAAATGAGTTTACCCCACCAAGATATGTACATCTTAACAAGATATCAAACTTATGAGTTGGGTGCAGTGACGCACATCTGCTATCTTGGAGGCAGATGTTGGTGGGGGTTCAAACAGATTTGTATGTGGATGTAGCAGCAAAAAAAAATTGGTTGCTGACCCATAAGTGCAGGCTTTTGAGCGAGGCCAAAAAACCATGAATTAACTCATCAAAGCTAGGTCTCACAAGCTAATCAGAGTTAAGCATGGTCAATTCTTGGATGGTAACTGCCTGGGAATAACCAGGTGTTGTAGACTCAGGTTGTGAGACGGTCAAGAAATGGCAGTACAGCAATTCATCCCTAAATGTATCTGCATGGCGCTTCCAGTGTTGCCCTCCTCGTATGAATGAAATTGGAAGGAAAAAAATCCCAATACTGTAAACCCTCGTTATTTCAGGATTTGATAATTCTTAATTTGGGACAATTCGGCACGGCTGCGCTTTCGGCATATATACAGTACTAGTCATTCCCAACGAGCCGAATTGCCGTACCGAATGCTCCAATTTCGGCATACACGTGGAGCGCCGCCACGCGCCGCCAACCAAAACAACCACTCAGTCTCGTACTGGCGCGCATGGTGAGCGTTAGTGCAGACCTGTTGCTTTGGACTTCATCTTGTTTATGCACTCTGTGCAAGCCAACCCTCTCAGAAATCTACACCTACATCAAGAAGTAATAGAAAGGGACTGAAGCATAAATCGATTAGTCTGCGAGACAAATCCAAAGCTTTGGATGGAATTGATGCAGGGTGTGTGTCACAATGTGAATGGTGTGTGAAGAGTTTGGAAAACAAATTCGGAAAAAAATATTATTAGGGCAGGAAGCACTGGGGAGTACCATTGTATACAATTCGGAATATTGGATAATTCGGCAAGGCCAGAGCACCATGTGCCGAATAAACAAGGGTTTACTGTACAGGACTATCTTGAGAAAGTGTCTTCAGACTCAATGAGAAACTTTCCTCGATCAGAAATTAATTATCATTAACAAGCTCACTATTTAAATGTTGTGTTCCAATAGAAAGTTACGGAAGGACAATAGAGTGAAGTGATTCATGTTTTTCTGCATTCAGCTGCCCATGAAGGCTGCCACATCTACGGCGTGCTAATCAGTGGTTTATACTGGTAGGAGCCTCCTGGTTACACCAGCCCACAGGGGATTATTGTGTCCGTCTGTCCGTCGTGCAGGGAGAGGCTGGGTGGGGAGGGAAGGGCTGGGTGGGAACGGGCTGGGTGGGGAGGGTGAGGAGAAGCTGGGTGGGGTGGGGAGGGGCTGGGTGGGGAGGGGCTGGTCACCCCGTGGTGCCCTTAAAAAACTCAACGTTTAACCTACTCACGCCGGCTTGTGCCCGCCCTCACAGTCGGGCATATTTGCGGAATACACCACGCCGCCGTTGACCCTGGCCATTGACAGAGCAACCCAACGTTCCTACCAGCTCCCTCCGCAGGAATGTGTTATGTGAGCCTCCACATTTTTACGATTCAGATGTTGCCAGCGTCTACCCAGATTTGGCAATGAGTAATTGAGGTTTTATTATCTGGTTCCAATTGCATGGTTTATATATATTGTTGCGGTTGGGAGTATTGACTGTTTATGTCGATATAAAAAGACTTTCGTCTTTCAAAATTACCCAACATTAGTTGTTTTACAAGGTGTCTCATGACACCAATTGGGAATGTTATGCAACTTACTGAGTGCGTGCATTCAGGAATGGTGTAGTCTCCAGTGTGAAATCTAAACACAAGCTAACAAGAACCTCTAGGCATACTGCTCAAGTGCAGTGTTTAAAAAATAAAATATCTAAATGGAGTTTTTTTTGTCAAACGTTATATCTAGTGTTGGTATTTCGAAGATCTGTTATAAATATATGTACACTTTTTAAAAGACACAGCAGTACATGGCCTGCATCTATGTTGCACTTCTTTCGCACCGTACGTAGCCAACCGTGGTAATCGGAGGTGCGGTGGAAGGACAAATTAAAACAAAAAGCTGTTCGAAAGAAAGTCTTTTATGTATGTATATTTCGGCCTAACCCAAAATCAATAATAATACTATCTGTCGTATGTCAATATTGATCGTCCTGTGTGAGGACTCATCCACAGGCTAGTCATCAGCTGGTCCTGGTGGTGGTGGTGAGAATTCCTCCAATATCTGAGGATCGTCAATAGAGATGAACACCAACGCAGTGCTTGTTGAAGATGAGATACACATTGATGCTATTAACTTTTACACTGCATTGCTGTATTTGTTTTTCATATTCCAGGATACAAATTTCATATTGGTTGCAAAAACCTACATGCTATGGTACAAATGTTATTCACCCCAGAGGAACGTCAACTGCAATTCTTTAAGCGTAGTCTCGCTACTCATAGCATATTGTGACATATATTTTTTTCTACCAACGTGACTAACCGAAAGAACCAAAGAGTATGGTGTTCAGATATTAAAACACCAAAACTGAAACCTTTACAAAGAATTATGTCTGCATTAACCACAATACTTGTGGTCAGAATGCAAAAACAAAGTACTCTGATAATATGTGCATTGTCTTTGAAACTGATTGGTCCATACCAGAGACAGCTTTCTTTTGAGCCTCGTCTCAAACGGTGTTAGACCAGAGGACGCCAAAAGACGTACAGCACAAAGACAATGCACTATCAGAGTAATGAGGGCTCGGGGTGAGCATCTTTATCATGGGACCTCCTTTGCCAGTATCAAAATATGAGAAAACCTATTCTCATATTTTGGTACTGGCAAAGGAGGTATCAAACACTCATTTAGGATATTCATTGCTCCCTACTGGCAGACTTAATGCTGCAGGTCACTCTTACAAACGAGACTATCCTGGTTTCTGGAGTTCTCATTAAACAACAACAAACCTTGCATTTCACAGCAGATATGCCCCAATGGGCTCGGACTGATAAAAAGGGATGTACCGACTTAAAGGCCACATACCATCTAAACCAAAGGTATGCGCCCCGACTTAAGAGCTGGGGTTTTTGCCCGAGTTTTGTGGGCAGATAGCATCGCGTGCTTGTGGGAAGGATTGTCAGATTTTTGCTCATGCAGGCACCTGAATGCAACCTCTAATTTGCAGTCAAATGTGGCGTCGCGTGCGTGCATGCGAGCTTCACGCGCGGTCTTCAAATTGTGAGGGCTTGCGTAAACATAAAATTAAGTCGACCTTTTTAGTGCGGAAAGGCTGCAGCTAGTACTTCAACCATTCCACCATCTGCACACTTGAACGTCATCGATACATATTTGTCGTCGATGTACATGGATACCATTTAATGATCGGTTTGTCTTTCCAAATAATAATAATTGTACCCTTTGTCAATTGATTTCTGGATCGAGGCTTGCCCGTGCCATGGTGGTTGTGGTGGTTTGTTTCATCATACTTAACCAGGCTTTGTCAATAGTGCCGGTTGGTGAGGGACCAATTCAGATATCGGTCGCCAATTAAAATAAGGTTGGCAGGTTCATATCGCAGCGCGCCAACCACTGCGCCACCACTCCTGCCCTCAACTTTACTTCCACTCTATACTGTAAGTTGGCTTGGACATTGAGTTTTGCTTATGTTGCCAAGCCGAGTGCCTCCAAAAAGGTTAAGGGTGTGCTCACCCGCATTGGTGGCTCTGAGCCAATGTTGTAAATTCCACATTCCTTTGACGAGGCCGGGTTTATGCATATAACTACTGTCTCCACGCAGAGGTACTCTTTCTAACAATGTCATAGTTGGTTGGCTGAATGAAACCCCAACAGGATTTGAACTTCCAACGTTCTAAATCGGAGCCAAGAGCTCAGCCAGTGCCCGAAACCCAGGGAATACAAACGACATGTACATCTTGTACCCGTAACAATTTTATTTGTTTGGCCACCTCGGGAGGTGGAGGGGGGCCTTGAAATTTGGCCAGATCATCATGAGGCCCAACTGTAAAATAAATTACAAAGCGAGATTGTCATCGTTTGTTGATTCATTCAGGATTTAACTTTCATGTTCTTTTTGCCCCTCGTTCTTTCCCGATTATTTTTCATTTCTATCAACCTCTTTCATCCTTTTCTCTTCCTCTCACTTCTCTTTCAGTCATGAGTAGATCACAGCTGAGGACAATGATAATAATCATGTTGCTACAGATGCTTGGAACATGTGTGCCCAGGTGCTGTGTGTTTTTATGTTGTCGAGATACAAGTGAAAATAAGAAACAAAAGCATAAAAAAATTATAGGCAAGAAAATGCCACGAAAACGGAGGTGCATGTGATGGGGTAGGGGGTTTAGGTTGGACGATGCGGTGGGGGGGGGGGGGCGACGGGATGACAGCGGAGGAGCCAACGCGTCTCTGGGCAGGGAGGAACGCACGGAATGAGCAAGCGAACGCCCGCGGGCCGGGGAAGGCGAGATTGGACCGACGTGGGGCGGCCGCAACGCAAATTCCGCACACGCCAAACACAAGCATTCGCCAAATAAAGCCGCCTTATCCGCCGCGCAGACGTGACAATGACACGCGGCGATTAAGGCTGCGCACGCACACGGCACGGCAGCGAGAGCGGCCGCGCAGAGGCAAAACTCCCGAGCGCACGCAACGTGCATCAACCGTTGACGGAGAGCCAATTGATTTCCTTTTCGGATGTCATCAATTTCAATTCAGTTATGAAGAACGCGAAACGTTGCTGCACGAAATAAATGCAACGACCAACGCTGCATATGTGTTTAACAAAGTAACAAAAATTAAGTGCTTTCCTGCTCAATTGTACGTGTGTATGTTGAACTTCTTTCTCACTGTACGTAGTCAACTGTGCAAATTGGAGGTGCGGGGAAGGACAACGACACACAATAAGCAGTTCTGAAGAAATTAGTCTCAAATCTAGATTTAAAAGTGCATAGCTTTGAGGCGGTCCTCGATCTTCCTGCTTACCAGCCCTGAGCCAGTAGTGGAAATAAAAGAAATAAAACAATTAGCCACCTGACCACACCGAATGTCTTACTTACATTCCATACGTGGTTACTGGTAGCTATAAGGGAGACTGCCAAGCATGCTACGCAGCGTCCGAGCACCGCGCATTTTGTTTTCTTACCATCGGTATCCCTTGCTCTGAGAACTTCACTTTGATGTCATGCAGATGCCTCAAGATAGGCTCGTCGTGTTCCTGAAAAGCAAGCGAATTATGAAGAAGGATTTGCATTTATTCGGCACCTCAAATATACCAGCACTTAAAGCACCTTATATCATACATCTAATCTTAGAATCATTCAAACGTCCACCTAGTTTTTTTTCTGTTTTAGCAGAGGGGAGACCCCCCTGATGACAGCTGTCTGTGCGGAACAAAGGAGAACACATGCGACCAAGCTGCACGGCTCATCTGCTCGGGTGTAGACGTCTGTGAATGCCTCTGCTGCATTAATGATCACAAACATGGACAAATATTCCATGCAGTGCCTCAATAACTGCAGCTGTGTCGTAACGCAGAAGCATACAAAGCCAAAAAGTATTTAACACAGAACGTTGTGCTTTATGTGAAGAATGTGGCAAAGTCAATAACTGCTGGAAAGTGGCAGCGCACACTGGTGACTATGCCACATGCCTGTAATCCAACACTGTAGAGGCAAGGGTTGTATGTGTGTACGTAGAACTTCTTTCGCACCGTACTACGTATCCAACATTGCTAATCAAAGGTGTGGGAAAGGAAAACAAACTAAAATGGACCATACAAACTCGTCAAACTCTTTCCCTACCCGTGGGCATCAAGGTCCTCATCTCCTGGCTTGCCATGGTACGGCGAGTACGGCAGCAAGTGGGTTAATTTCAACATGTATACACTCTGTACCCCCCCCACCGCAAGCATGAGTTTTATCCAGGTACTCCAGTTACCTGCCTCATGTGTAAAAACTAAGAGTTGGCTAAACATCCCAAAATAGGACCACAGATCTCGGGCGATTGTTGGCACCGGTTCTGGCTGCTTGTCAGTGGCTTTCCACGCCTCTGAATCTCTCTCTCCGAGAGGGAATGAAAACTGTTCGCGCTACAAATTCTCAAATATAATTTAGAACTTAGACTAAAAACTATTTTTATTTGACCAGGTAAGGGTCACCGAGCTATACAGCTCTTTTTCAGAAGCAATCTGGCCACAAATGATAGGCCAACGAAGTGGCTTATCACGTGGAAATGTATAGTAGCCAAATACTCTAAACGTACGTTGATTTAAAATGTGGAGGGAAAAATAGGACATGGAGAAAAAAATCCATGCTACCATGGGGAGAAACAGGCAAACTCCAAATATGCAACAGGGCCACGAACAAACCCACGACCTCCTGTACACCAGGCGAGGTAGTTTACATCTCGACACCGCGAGACGCTGACCCCTTGACCTTGTGCGACACATACCTGCACCATGTCACTGAGCAGATCGACGTTCCTGAAGACGGTGAGCCAGAACTCGGGAATACCGTTGGGGTTGGCACTCTCGGCGTCATTCTGCTCCTCGCTCAGTTTCACTTTCTCCTTCACGTCGTCCTGTCGCCCCATACGCACGCAAAAACAAGCACGTGGAACACAAGGCACACGTCAGCCCTGTGAGCCAAGCAGACCCGAGGTCTCCCAAGCCTGTCACCCAATCATCTGGATGCACCTAATCTCGTCAAGATGCATGTTGAACTTCTTTCGCACCGCATGTAGCAAATCGCGTTAATCGGAGGGTCAAGCCCAGTTCATAGCTGGATGGGAACACCAGGTGTTCAAGATGGTCAGATAAGTGGTACAGAAATGAATTCCTAAAGCTATCGAAGGTAGAGCTTCCAGTTTTAATTCCATCGTATGCATGGATTAATTTGGGTACTCTGGCTTCAGCTCTAACAAAAAAATGTACTATTAACTGGGAAACAAAGGCAGTTACAGCAGTGTAATGGTGAGCAGATCATGGTATGGTGGGGTGAAATGTGGGCATGCCGATCTCTTTCCATAACGTCTGGTCAGCATGGAAAATTAGACCAAATATCATCCGCAGCTCCCTCCAGTGGAAACGCCAGTAGTGGCGTGAGCAACCAATAAACTAACTGCAGGGGGTTGCCTCTTTACCTCTCGACTGAGAAACAAGAAGAAAAGGGTAAAGCACGGTGGGGGGCTTAGGCCACGATGGTTTAGGCCACCATGCTGCTTGCACATCAGCACGTACCAATCAGTGCATTCATTACTAGAATTAAACTTAAATTGGTGAAACCAGTTTCTGACTTTCAGAACCAGTTATAATCCACGATGAAACCTGGTTACTGGTTGACCAGTTGTCGTTCGCATCCCTAATGGTAATAATGGCAGGACGAGTATTGTCCACCCCCACAGGGACATCAGTGTGATTTGACCTTGACTGCTATTTGACCTCACATGACCTTTCAATTAGGGGCCGAGCACTCCAACTGCTCTAACCTTGGAGCTGCTGCTTAGGTAACATTTGGTCCCGCCCAATGCAGGCAACACTGGAAAAAACAACACACGGCTCCCCGCCACATTGCAATCACCTGTCAGCGATAACTATCAACAACAGAACCACCGGAACGGAAAAAACCTATCGTGTTTATTTAAACAAAGGTAGTGTTGTAACGCTAAAGAGCGTCTGCCGGTCTTTTTGACGCGAGAATGTGTGTTTGTGTTGCACACAGATGGCCATGCAGCGTTACCTCAAATGAAACCACGCTTTGGGCAGCTGCCTGGGCAAACCGCACGTAAGCATGGGCAAGCTTTCAGACTCGGAAAGAATATTTTCCGGAGGCGGTGATGCCGTGATAATAAATAATGAATAAGGTGTAGACTTTTTTTTTTACCACTGCTGTATAACACAGAAATAGGCAGATTGCGATCGGGTGCATTTACACGATTGTCACTGTTGAGAGCCATGATAAGGGGCCTTTGTCTAAAATGCTAGGTTCATTGTTTGATGTCCCATTTGACATCCCGCTGTGCTATCGGCATTGTATTGAGCTGTAGAAGGTAATATAAGATAACTACTTCCTCAAGTCTTTTCAATAGGCCACTGTCGTCACACCGGGGGAGCACATTTTATATGTCCCACAAAAAAGTGTCCGTTACGTGTTAATTCACCAGTACTCAGATGCAAGAAGCCAAATACCATGAAAAATACACTTCAAATTCCGGGTTTTTGTGCAGTAATTGAAAACTGGGCTGAGACCATCACTCACTACATCTGAGAACCCCATTTATTGCTAAGTGGCCGCTCAGAATAGAACCCAGAATACCAGCATTGCAGGCTCAGTGCTGTAACAGAGAATTAGCCGCCCCTATGCCATGGAGTCACCAACACTCCGAATTACATGGAGGTTCAGATATCGCTCGTCAATGACCCTAGCTGTGGCGGGGAATCAAACTCATGTGTGCCGTGTTCACAGTGCACTTTGGCTTTTTGAGCTCTGACACCCAGCCACGGCTAACGTCAGTGACGAGTGATAGCTGAACCGGTCCTGGCAATGTTGCCTCACCAACATGAACTGGCTAGAGTTGTAAAGGATGGTGAAACAACTAGCCCAAGACAAACAGCATGAGAGAGGCCTTCAACCAGCAGCTCATTAACAAAGGGCTGTAAATGAAACAATGCATGTCACAATTTTGTAGGGAATGGCGATTAAATTAATTCATGTAGTTGATTTCAGCAGGTAAGAACCTAACATATTTTACGACAAAACACACTTTTATAATGGTAATAAATAGAAAAAAAGTTTTGATTTCTACTGTGATTTGGGATAGGGCCCATGAACGCAGCACACTGTGTCCTTCTCTTGTAAATCACGTCATGGGGTGTTTAAGAGTCATAGTTTAATGTTTGGGTGAGGCCACGTAATTGATTAAAGTGCAAGAAAATTCTGGACTGCTTTCGGCATTCAGTGTCTCATTCAGCCGAGGCATATAAGTGACAAAATAACATACTTTTTTACGTGGAGAGAGAGATGTATGAAGGACACAATGTCGGCTTATTTAGTCTGTTTCTGCATTAAAGGGACCGGTGCTGCCACCTAGTGATCATGAAATGTCATAGTAACTTCGCGGTGGGAGGGTCCGGCGGGGTGGGGGGAGAATGAATGCAGTGCTGACGTAGCTCGCAATTGAAGCTGTTATTTGTGTCGAGCATTGCCTTGGGGCAGTTTGGCTGAAATTGTTACCGAAAAGTTCAGTCGGTTCCCTACCCGGCAAGGGTTAAAACTAATAAGTCAACGTAACTTTTAAAAATGTCAATGTGTGACTTCTGGTTACGATTATTTAAATAAATGACAAGAATTTATTAAGGTGGCTGTGTTAAACAAGCACAGGAGACATGGTGATAAAATTGATGCCAAAATTAAGACATGTATATTGCCTAATATATCATTAGCCATTGTTAATACCTTGTTGAAGCCCTACTGAAGGCACTGCCAACTCACGATTCTGCTCTGTAATAATCTACCGAGCACCTGCAGGCGAGTCGAATTCATAAAATGTGAATGTGTTCTTAATTTTGTTGTAAATGTATTAAGTGGTGTTGCTTTATTGTATTGTTTGATTTGCTGTTTTGCTGTACTTATTGAAACTCAGATATCCCTTAGAGACGTCTGATGTTAATGAGCTCCTTACCTGCTTATCAATGTTTATCTTATCTGTCCAGCTAATAATGGTCGTAGCGATAGCTTGATGATAACAGTTAGTATCGTTGTTATTGGGGGCGCTGCGGTGGCGAGATGTTAACTACCTCACCCGGTATGCAGGTCGTGGATTTGATCCCGACCCTGACGCCTGTATATTTGGAGTTTGTATGTTCTCCCCGTGGATGCGTGGCTTTTTCTCCGGGTTCAAGAGTTTTTCCCTCCAGATTTAGAGACATTTATTTCGATTATTTGGCTGCTATAAATTTCCACAAGATAAGCCACTTCGTTGAGCTATCATTTATGGCCAGGCCTTACCTGGTAAAATTAAAAAATAGTTTTTAGTTTAGTTTTAGTTACGATGTGCGATCTAAGCAGGGGGTGATGTTGCTATGTGTGATCCCAGTTGTTTTGTCAATAGCAGTTACAATGTGTTTTCTTTTAGCCATGAGAGGAAACCAAACAACCTGGACGAAATCCATGCAGAACAGGAGAACTTACAAACTCCACAGAAAGGTATCCCGAGATGGGAATTGAAACTAGGCCCACATTACTGTGAGGCGAAGAGTTACCCGCTGCACCATCCTTCGACCCTAAAGATACTCACAGCAAGTTCTGCATCTTCATCTTTCTCCTCCACCCACTCGCACTCCTGGTCTGTGGGCTCAATCTCACCGCTCACGATCTCTCGCCTCTGTAGGTAAATATAAAACATCAACACTCGCGTGAAGAATGGTCTGGCGTGATACTTGATCAGAATCTTCATTTATCCCGGAGGAATCCGATGAGCTGTGAAGCTCTTTTTCAGAGATGTCCAGCCGGGGGCGAGGTCACCAAGTTACAACAACAAATACAACAAGCAAAAGGAGTGGTGAGAGCAAGGCACTAAAATAAATGTAGAAATTTTAACTTCTTGGTTCTTTCGGTAAAGTCACGTAGAATGGAAATAATAAAAATAAAACATAATAAAATAATTCTCACGACGTTTCGGCCACAACGCAAGCAGCCGTCCTCAGGTGAAGAACAGGGCTGTCAGAAAGACAGCGTCTGACCTGTTCTTCACCTGAGGACGGCTGCTTGCGTTGTGGCCGAAACGTCGTGAGAATTATTTAAGTATGTTTTATTTTTATTATTTTATTATTTCCATTCTACGTGACTTTACCGAAAGAACCAAGAAGATGAATCCCTGCAGTCACGAAAGCTTTAAATCGAAATTTAGAATTTTTTTGTTTTATAAGTACAGTACACTTAACATCAAGATTAGGGATGCAACAATTCACCCCTCCAACAAGTCGACATTGTTACAATTCAGGGTAGGTGTCAGTACAGAAACCCACGAGGTCAAGAAGATGCTTGATGCAGTTTTCAGTGAACTGCCGTGTACAATTGCTAACTTTGGTTTTGGAATATGTTCAATTTACTGGTGGGCTGAAACCATAACAATTATCGCGTTACACGCTTGTACAATTATTTATTTTTAGCAATATTAGGACAATTTATGTTGGGCGAATGGAGCGGCCATTTCACATGCTTGTATAACACCGCCAACAACAACCCATTACGCCTCAGTTGATCTACTCGTTGCCGATAGCTGCCCTGCCAATATTGACAAAGCGCTCAGCACTCGGCAGACAAACCAAATGTCAACGTCAAAAGTTTCATTTTTTATAAGGGGGGGTGTGGGCAGGGGTTGTTTGACCAGACTTCATCAAGCTGGTCAGTGCAGGCTGGTGAAAATTGAAAGCATTAACTTGGGAGCATAGGAGCACAGTACAACAATACATTTTGCTGCACGCCCCTCTGGTCATCACCACGTAGTACAGCATCTCAGCTGTGAATGACAACCCGGCGTGGAAGGTGGATGCCCATTCAAGCACTATCCTGCTTAGAAAGCAAGATCTGACAAGAACTAAAGCATTCTGGGTAATTTACTCATGGTCTTGTGCTTGAGGCATAATTAAATTATATGCATTCCACCTAACATTCACTGCAATACCAATATCTATTTCTGCAGCTTTAACCATGACCTACTCTCATGACTCTTTACATAACAATATCACAAGTTCAAATCCTGCTCAGGGGTTAACTCATCTTTTCACTCCCAGCGCAAGCATTGGTAATGTGTGTGTACGAGTTCTTATATGAGCAGGCGAGTGAGCGAATGTGCGTGGGGCAGCCACGCGCGCGTGTCCCTCACCCTGTTGAAGTGCGGCTGGTAGAGGGCGGCATACTTCCTCTCCAATTCGTGCACCTCCTCGTAGAACTTGGCCTCGATGTGCGCGCACTTCACCTGCAGGTTCCTCAGCGCGTTCACGCGCCTCTTCACAACCTTGGGCAAACTGGGATGCGCACGGGAAGAACGCCATCCCCCTCCGACGTCAGATTGCCCGATCGCTCGCTCGTCCACCCCAAGGCTCGCTCGCCCATCCACCCCAAGGCTCGCTCGCCCATCCATCCGCACATGATACAGCGGGGAACACATTCGCTGCTTGTTTGGGAGGGTTCGCAGTTCGAATCCTGCAGGCCACCCTGGTTATTGCAGTGTGTATTAGCCATAAATTGCATGCCATCTGCTTCAAAGTGGACTTTAATTACTCAACAATATAACTGTTATGAAATTTTACCCGGAAAAAAATACTCAATTGAGATTACACATAGCAGCATTGCCCCCTACTGCGAAACTATTGCAAATTGTCTGTGAAACACAGCGCCTTGATGATAGCCTTCTTGCTACAAGAATGATGCTAATAGCAAATGTACCAACGATTAATTTGAGTGGTGGCGCATGCATGGACTGTTGTCCATTGCTTTTAAGGCAAGGATTGGTAGACCACTCTTTGGTTCTTTCGGTAAAGTCACATATAAAGAGAAAATAATAAATTAAATAACTTTACCGAAAGAACCAAAGAGTAATTCGTGCAGTCACAAAAGCTCCAAATTAAGTTTGATTGGTAGACCACACTGAGATTTGTGAACGGGTTTGAGTTGTGTTCCAACTGACATCACATACATCGCATGGATCATTAGCCTCATCCCTAGCATGGCTTGGACCCAAGCCAGATAAAGATGTCAAATGAAGCCAGCATAGGGCAGCTCTGTTCCTGCTCGACTCCGGAAGATGCAAGCGGAAAACCACCGGTGTACTGGACCCAAGCAGGCTCCATGCCGGCGCAACACGTATGTGCAAGTGAAAAACGGGCATTAAACATCGAGTTGAAGCACTGGGCCTGGGTGTCCCAGCGGGTTGACGCACGTGCCAGTACATAGGGGTGGCACGCCTAAGATCCTGGTTCCAAGCCCAGTTAAAGAGCAATCAATACTGAACTGTTACTTCAAAAATCTCTTGTGTGATAAAGAAGAATTGTGTGAAAAGTTGGTCAACCCAAGAAAGGCTTCGGATAACAATACAAATACAACACTGCAACTGGAACGAGGCTTCCATACCAAGGCAAGTTTGTAACTTTGTCTGCCGCCCATCCAGCGGCAGCAAGTCAATACCTGTGAGGGGTAGCGTTGCTGAGTTCTGCAATGTCAAAACTATTTCTAATAAAAAGGACAGATTACTTTAAAGGCAACCTAAACATTTTGACGCTGCACGTGCCTGCAAAACTTGCTCGTCTCTGGCAGGAAATCTTGCCAGCTCACTCACTAACATCTACAACTTAAAGCTGTCCTCCACCTGGTTAAACAATTAACTTGACTCCACAATCACGGCGAATATAGATGGCACTGCTGGGTAACCCCTTCTCCATCAACATGATGGGGGCATCATTTGCCAAACACTATCTCCACACAAATTACTTTGTCTGTCTTATCCACTAGGAAACGCTTTACTGTGATACTGTATTGGCATAGCTATTAAGGGCCATTATATATTCCTTTTCGGGTAGTGTTATTGACAAATGCGTTCAAGTTTGTTAAAAAAATGTGTTCATTAATCACCCAGGAAAGCCACGCACATTTTCAAGATATTTTCAGGTTGGTCCAGCTTTGGGATGTTTTGTCAATTTGTTGATGGACACGTTTTGTGAGTAGTTTAAACCAGCGTGCCCACCACATACATGGAAATGACAAGTCAACAATCCATAACACCAGCAGAGCTAGTGTCGCCTTCCTAAGTCATTCCCTGAAATAAGAACTCATCACCAACTAAGACACCGTGTCTAAATAAGACACCGCCGTATGCCCTCATAGGTGAAAGGTCAAGGTCCAGCCCTACAATTACTTGCTCGTGCCACTGCTGGCGGATGGGCCTCCACTACAGGTAGCTCTAAGACAGCTCTCGGCGGTATTTTCGACTACCCTTCCATGCTTGCCAGACATCTCAGAAAAGGTAAGAGTACCCACACTTTACCCCACTACACGTGACCTGCCAATCGACTGTGGTGTACCCATTTATACTGCTGGGGGCAATTCAAGAAACCTTGTCAAGTGCCACAAAGGAAAGCGTGAGTGTGGATCCCTGCAGTCACGAAAACTTTAAATCTAGATTGTTATACTTCATCAGTGTTGGTTTTAAGCCTTGGAGATTGGAAATGATTCACTTTTACAAATGACACGCTATCATTTTATTTCATTAATCAATGCAATAATCAATTGATTAATTGATCATTTCAAAAGCCGCGAGTTGCAGGTCACACCAGAGTACACACGAACACAAACACCAATGTTGTACTCAACCTCCACATACATCAAAGAGTTGCTTGGCTGTGCATAGAACAGGCTGCCGGGCATTGCTGTATGTAGCCGTGCTAAAACTTGCACCAACATGTCATGGAATTCGATGTTTGGGCTGGAGGCTTGAGAACAGGCATGGGTGGAGGTAAACATTTTTTATTATACTTTACACCCGAATGGATCATGTGTTATTACAAGCGCTGTCAATTATTGGGGTCCATTTTAAAACAGGTGGGCTCAGCAGTACAGCAAGCAGCTCCCAATGGGAAGGTTTCGAGTTCATATTCTTGGTTGGGGGGGTGACTCAACCCCATCATTCCTTTGGCGGTCGATAAAATGAGGACCACTTTGTGGGTAAGTCACCAGCGGTTGTCCTATGCCTAGCCTCACTCCCGTTCGAGGAAAGTGTATTTTCTTTCTAGATTTGAAGCTTTCGTGACTGCAAGGATTCATATTCTTAGGTTTTTTTTCCGGTAAAGTCACGTAGGCAAAACATTAAAATTAAAATTAATAAAAGTAAAATAAAATAAAAATCACGACGTTTCGGAGGCAACACAAGCTTCCGTCTTCAGGTGGAACCGTCACAGCCACGACAGCTGTATCAAGTAAATGAGGATATTTTCCACAACTAGCTCAGGGCTGGAAAGAGTTGAGCAATGCCTCAAACGCTGGTTTGAGTGAGAAATCACTTTGACTTATGACTTTATTTCATGCAGTAGTGGCTATGGGGCAGGGAGGGAGTTCAAGGCCTCAAGGGCAAGCAAAGGAGGTGCGCAGACCTCCTAGCTGAACAAATCCCGGCCGTGTACCTCTCCATGGAGACCAGCGGTGGCCAAATGGCATCTCCCGAGCCACATGCGGCTCTTTAGTCCACCACATGCGGCTCTATCGACGGGGCATAACGTAGAACGTACTATCTCAGTAGCAAAGAATAATGAATGTCTCCCGTGCTGTGCCAAAAACTGTCTAGAAATGTATGCATACACTTAGGAGAGGCGGCGACCAACCGGGTGAGACAATCCCCTCCGTGTACCTCTCCATGTAGACTGAGGGCGACGTGGTACGTGTGTCCCCTCGTTCCTGCATGGCCACGAGAGCCTGAGGATCCTGCATCATCTTGGCGGATAGCGCGATCGCATCTGCAACACACGAAACATTCAATACGTAAATACGTGAATATACACACTTGGGTATTACCCTCAATCAAGATGTTTCCTTCCAGCAACCCGTCAGGCATGTCACTGAGGTATCTTTTTAAAATCTATAAAATATTTTTGATTTAAAGCTTTCGTGACTGCAGGGATTCATATTCTTGGTTCTTTCGGTAAAGTCACGTAGAAGAGAAATAATAAAATAATAAAAATATAAAACAATACAAATTCTCACGACGTTTCGACTGCAACACAAGCATGTATTTCCACTTCTTACTACCTTTTAAAAGTGTTTCTCCTTGTCATGGAAACAATTTCCAATCGTTTCATATATTTTTATTACATTTTAGTGAATGTGCTTTGAAGCGATCCCTTTAAAAAAAGTCACGATATAAAATTAAGATTGACCGATAGAAAACTCGTTTCCATGGGACCGCCAAATTAAGTTGATTCGCGTTGGGCTGATTTTTCCCAGCACATGCCATTTTTGGACAACAAGTTGAAGAAAACTTGAAGCTGGTAAAAATATGTCGCCATGATGAGGTATCGTGATTAAACACAAACTCGCGAGTAAACGGCCTGCACCGCACAACAGAGCGAATTACACGGTACATGTTAAATTAAAAGTAATATTGAATATTCGCGCAAACAAACCATAAATGTGATTGGCCAGTCTGTGGTTTTATTTGCTCCCCACCGGAATTCTGACGTAAGGAATTCCGGACAACTGGTAAAGAGAGACCGGCCATAAATTGCTCATTTTAAATGTTTGCTCAATTCAAAAACATTTGTTAACTCTTTATTCGTGTAACTTTGATCGTGCCGTTTGTTGCTGGCCATGTGATGTTTTGGGCCTATGCCCAGCAACTGTCTTGAAAATAACAACAAATGTTGATACCAATCCAATTACAGGCCATGGCTCAAGTCACAGCAATGGATTGCAACCTCTGCCCTTCATAACTCTGACATAGCATTAACGCATTGCCCAATGCACGTGTAACCACAGCACTACCGCAGGCAGCCACCGCACACCAACCTGTGGCGTTTGCGTCACCGTGAACCAAGTCCACGTACACTTCATCCACCTCTTCCGTCGATTCGGTCGACTCCATTGATCTATTGGGAAGGGGGGGGGGGGTCGGTGGGATGAACAAAAGGTGACGAGTGGTTAAAATCAATATGTATTTTACGTTCCAATATCGCCCTCAATAAATGTGCACCGATGCACCATTTACAACGGGACAGGAACGGTACAGAGGGGCATGCAATAGGAATGAGAAAATAAACCCTGTGACGACCTCGGCAGCTGACACCGACCGAGCAAAATTAAGTGCAACCGCGCGCAAAACAAAGCCCAAACGTGCGCAACAAATAGTATAAGAGAGGCAAGTAGAAGTAAAATAAATAAATTATAAAGTAACGGGACAGCTTTTGATTTTAAAAACACATTCTTAAATTCTCGCCACACACATGGAATTGTCAAAGAACCAATACTTTGGATGCATGCGAATGTAAATAAAATGTGACATTTAGCCTAACCCAGGGGTCGGCAACCTACGGCTCCGGAGCCGCATGCGGCTCTTTACGGGCTGCTTCTTGACGATATGTACGTATGTACAGTATGTACTCAGATGCATTGCGGCTCTTGAAATACTGAATTTTGTACCGAATTGGAAAGAAATGGCTCTTGTTATTTTGGTTGCCGACCCCTGGCCTAACCCGAAGACGGAAGACTCAGGAATTCAACAGCACAGACGGCTGGTGAAGAGGAGTTCAATGCTATGGGGACAATGCCACCCAATGCTCATATGGACACAATTTGTTATTATGAAATATTTCATGACAAAAATCCCTCAAGATGGACCCATTTGGTTTGCAAGGATGTCCAGGGTGTTGACTGATGCACAGCAAACACACCGTGAAACATATAAAAACATTAATAAAACATTTACTTGAGATAAATCAACAGGTAAACAGAAGGGAGACTGACAGTTCACCTCTGTTGTGAACAAATAAAACCCATAAAATGCATTTATATATTTCATCAAGGTCCTTAAGATATGCTGATCTCCAACTGTTCAGCACGTCCAGGTCTAGATTGCTCTCTTTGTTTGCGTGGCACCCATTTGCTATGAAAAGCCTTGCCACTTGAAAATAGCCAATCAGAGTAGGTAGATAAATTTAAGTGTGCTTTGAAAGCCATTTCATTAAACTGGCCTTCCCTCTTTAGTTTGGTCAGTTGTCCTGGTTCTGTTTTTGTTTCCTGATTTTCATGCATTGCGCATTGGGATGGTCCTGGGATGGAATGTGCATAATAAATTTTAATTATTATAAAACTGCTTTTCGAATATGTCCACCGTGACGTGAAACTTAGAAATATTCTTTACAAGAATCACGAAGCAAGCCATCATGAGAACATCAAACTGCAAGCAAAGCAATCCAAAGACAAATCTGTTAAAGGTAAATTAATAAACGTATTTTGGAGTGTGCTCTCTAAACAACAAGCACTTTTAAATATGTACAGCTCCATCGCTGCACAGTTGCATGGAGACCCAACACTTTGGTAGCAGCTCGCCACCAGATAAATACGCCCTCCCTTTTTACCAACATCCTTGAACAACCAATTGCCCCTGCCTCAAAGTCACTGAATCACGACCACGTGCACCGAGACCTATACAGGCAGTAAGCATATTCAGGGGTTTGGAAGGGCACGCATGCAACTGCAACGTTAAACTCCAAGCGCGTATGCTGGAAAATGCTGGACTGAATGTGCTTAGGACCACTTCCACACAATCAATGGCTCTCTGTTCTCCCGCCGGACATTCAGTGCGTGAGCATCGTTACAAATCGGCCGACGTTTGCATTGTCAAATACTCGAGCCCCACACATTTGCATCAAAGAGCGTCGTGTACAGTGTGAAAATTGCAGAACACTGGTGTCATTCCAAACAACCGCGTGCCTGCCACTCGTAACACACAATAATTAGTGCCTTTTAAAATAGGAATAAGAAATTAAGTGTGGATTGCGCTAATTCCCTTTCATGAACTTCGGACGGGGAAATTTTAAGGTAGCTGTGTACTAGACGCAAGGGTGAATCAATTAATGCTCCCAATACATGCATCAAATCAAGCCTCTAAAAAATCATTAGTTTACGATTTATGCAAATCATGTGCTAATGCAGCTTCAGGGAAATGGAACGAATGAGGAAAAACGAAACAGGAGATACAAGGCATGCAACATAAACAAGACAAAACACACAATACAAATTAAACAGTACTAACAAGAAAAAAACTTACTCTTGCATCATACCACGCTCTCAAAGAATAGAAATTCATAAAATCACTAGGAAATAAAATTATCCACCTACCGTTTACAAAACCAGAGCATGTTAAAAATAATTATTAAATAGAAAAGGAAATTATTTTCTGGGTAAGTCTTTCATTTATATTTTAAACAAATCATGAGAAACCATGACTAAATGCACGGACATAATTCTGCCCAGACACCACTAATTTTATCACTTTAAGCAGTCAATAAGGCAATGGTGACTTATTTTTGCTTGTATTACACCTGATATTTCCAGGCAGCTTCCCCCCCCCATCCAAGTACTAACCAGGCTTAGCCCTGCTGAGCATCCGAGATTCTGACGACATCGGGCAAATTCAGCGTGATCTTATCGAAGGCAAAATTACACGTATTCCCTTGGAACAGTGGACATTGCCCTTCATTCGTGCCAAGTAGTCGCGCAGTGTGGTAATGTCCAAAGTCATCGGTGGCATGCGTTGCAATGGACCGCACCTGTCTTGATTGGCCATTACAGGTGTAAGCGCCGTGTGGTTCTCTTTCACAAAACCTGTGGGCAAAGATAAAATAAAGCCGTTAAAGTGACCTCAGTCGAAGCTGTCAGCAGTAACCCTGGCAACAGTAGCACTGTGTGCCCCTTCGCTTGCAGATAAAGGTGTTCACTCGTGTAACTGGAGTTGTGGCCATTAACATGGACATGATGCGAAGAGGACAAACCAAAGGCTTGGATTGCAACCAGGGCCACTGGTAACAATAGAAAGCAACCAATCAGGACGGCTTGGCCCATTTCTCCACTGCCTAAAAAGGAAAAATAAAAAAGGCAATGTATTGGGCAATGGTCCTTCTTCGTAGAACAATTTGGATTGCGTGAAATTTAAGAGATGTAACAGAAAACAAACAGGAACAAACTTCAAATATTGAAGCTTATCAGCTTGGAGCAGCTGAACGGATATTTTCATACCGCACACAATACCACATGATTGGAAGTACGATCAGATCCCATATTTAATAAAAGTCCTTTATTTACCCAGGAAGGGCACGCTGAATCTCAAAAGCATTTCAGGAGATTCCTTCTTGAGATGGTTACAAGTTTAGCATTTTAAACCAGAATCCATACAAAAAGCACTCCAATTTGGCACTGCTACATATGTAACCTACTTGCTGTAGGGCTTTAAATAGAACACCTTGCTTGACATGAAGGAATGCTCCCCTTTGGAATGCAGTTAAAGATGTTGCATATGAAATTAAAACATCTGAAAAACTGATTGCGGACAGAACATCTACATTAATACACACGTCACCAGGAACAGAACTGTGATACATTAACATACGCTGCTTAGATACAAATCAATTGTGGGGGCCAACAGAAAATGAACCACAATTTGTGCTTACACCATGAGGCTCTGTAAGATATGGGAAAAAAGGTTACATCAACATAACCGTTGGGCAATGTTCAATTCTTACCTCTAAGTAATGAATATACACATTTGAAAAGAATAAATGCATTGGCGTTAAGAGTTTCCACATTGATATGTAATGTCAATCCACTGCGGTCATGCTGTACCATAATAATAATAAACATCGATGTCTACTTTCAATAGCCTATATTCAAATATATTCTCATTAACAAAGGCAAATCGCATAACAGCTGCAACACGAGCTAATGTACTTGCATTGTGAATACTACAAATGTTTACCCAGAACAGCTTTATGGAGTCTCAAGACTTTTTCAGGAGGGTTATGCTTGGGATGCAAGGTCAATTCACTTATTTGTTCATCTTTGCACGTGGGAGTACAGTTAGGTGGCTGGAGAAAACATTCGAATAATGAGGAACTATAATGTCTGGTGGTTGATAAGAACAACCAAGAATCAGCCAAGAAAGAAAACGCGTCTGAAAGGTTATCTATCTGCCGCACAAATGTAGTGGCGAAATTCTGGTCCTGCCATATAGTGGATGGTTACATGACAGGACCATGAGAAATGGTGACAGCTTGGGAAGACTTTAATTTAGCAGTGGATTATTTATATCTGTAACCTACTTGCTTTTTATTGACTCGTAGAGGCACCTTGCTGCGCCTGCTGACGGACGCAAAACCCAGGCACCTCCAAAATGACTGATGGCAGATGTGTGCCAACCATACAGGGAGGCTGGGAGTTTAAAGTCTTGTTAGGAGCTGAACCCATCACCTTTCCAGGATTGATACAGTAACACTTTGTGGAGAAATCAACAGTGGTTGTCTGATGGCGATTCAACCCCACCATTAGCAATGTCGACTTTCCACCAATAGCTCAGAACTGCAAACCATAATAAAATACAGATGAGCACTGCCTCTGCCAATTTGAGCAAGAACTCCATTTGACTTGACTTTGAGTCTATACATTTCAGAAAAGTTTACGCAATTGGAGTGCACGTCTTTCAAACAGTAATAAGGATTCAATGGAGGCTTCTGTCTCGGATATGAATGGAAGTTCCTCTTACGAGTATTGTATTCATGGGGAAGGAAACCAGAGTATCCAGAGAAAAACGGGAAGAACTAAAACCAAACAAAAATTATATTATCAGATGTTTGGTACCCTTCATATTTTTAACCGTACCATGTTTCCATTATGGTTGGTGGCAAAATTCGTTAAAAATTATACGTACTTTGAAAAATGCAAGTCACATATTTCACAACGGCATTATATACCCTGTTGGTGATCCAGAAAACAGTTAAAATGCAGTTATTCATAGTTGCTGTAATACTATGCATGCAGATGTTGAAATCGCTCGTGTAAGCTGTTCGCGTGCACAGTGGGTTCCAGTTAAAAACTGCCAACGGTCAGTTATGTCACACGAGCTCTCAAAAGTTGCAGTGGGTGCATGTGCGAAAGGTCTTAAGTCACTGGGAAAAATGTGCCCGCGTTCTATTTTTTTACAAAAGAATGTGTAATATGATACGATTTCACAAATAGCCAATCAATACATCAAACATAACGAATCGATAATTATTCAATATAACAAATCGATTAATTATTAGTATAACATGTAATATACAGGCAGCATATGAACAAGATGGATGTCATCAAAATACACCTATAACATTACTGTTCTAATCAACACATGATTTTAATGACACCATCAAATTAACCTATTAAATATTACATAAGCAGTACTGACTTTAATTAGACATACATGTATAGTGCACATCAATAAACATATGCACAATACACATACAGCACATACATACACATACACTATTGCATGGAATTTACACGCAATTGTGCAAAGCATGTTTTATACAAGTAGACTACCTGCAATGATTTAATGTAAATAAAGTTAATTCAATGTGACCTCATGCTCAAACGAACGGTGCACTGTGCTCATCTTCATTGGCGGAAATTCCACATTCCTATGAAGGGGCGCAGTCCACCCGACTGATGTTGGCGAATCGCTGTAAGAATTGTGTCATAAATTGGACATTACCCTGAAAGACAGCCACGTTTAACCTTGTTGCACCACTTTGGTGAAGACTACGACTAGCAAAATCAGCCCCAACTCCGAACCTGGCTAACTAGACTTACATCACTAGACCCAAAGAACACGGCAGCCTCCTCGGCATCAGGAAAGTCACCGTATAAACAGCCACAAATAAAATTAAAGTTCTCTAGTCTACCCATGCAGAATGCCATTTGCTCCAACGCAGACATCAGCCGCGATTCGCCACTAAATGACGGTAACATCACCCACTGACGCTTGTTCCAGGCTAGGTACACTTGAAGAACACCCCCCCCCCACACACACACACGTACAGATGTACTGTATAGTACGATCCTTCTATAGCCTTAATAGACTTGGGGCAAGTGCTGATCTGGAGCAGCTATCAAGGCCGGAACGGCACACGAGGTATTAGTCATCACCAACACCGCCTGTCTTCTCAGTGCTGGCATCTACACAACACACCAAGAACCCATTACAGGCCTTGGGAGGGCCCAGCACCGGTTGAGATATTCGCCACCAATGTTGGCTGTGAGCGGGAATCGAACTCGGTTGTGGTCTGGTTCATAGCAGTGCGCTAACCACTGCGCCACCGCTCCCCGTCATTTAGTGGCGAATGGCGGCTGTTGTTGGAGCAAATGGAAGTCTGTGGACCGGATATCTTTAATTTGTTCGTAGCCGTAATGAGTGTTTTCTAATGCGGAGGCTTCTGTGTTTTGATGTCGGTGTAGCGATGACGGGTATATATCACACACTACACATTTTTTTTATATATACATATGCCTTGTGTATAATTGACACGCTTGGACAAACGCACATGTACAAAGTTCACTCGACCATAACTCCGTTGGTCAATCGCGTGCATTTAGAACTGTAACCTAACAGAATGTAACAGCCCGAGTCTCTGAGACTAATCGAAACCTGTCAGTTTGCCTGCTTGAACAAATTCTGCTGGGGAAAAAAAAGTCTCTAGGTACCCAATTATCATAAATGTACTCTTTCAAAGTTAACCCATCGGCATGCTCTATCCACTGCTTGTAGGCCTCGCCACGATGTCACCATTTATTCACGAAGCTGCGATTCCGCGATCGACCTCACGTCAAGTGAAGTAACTGACCTCGTCACTCCCCATCTCACGCACACACACGGTACACATTCAAACAACCACCACACACCGCTTGTGCCAGGCTAGGTGCACAGTAAAAAGTTACACATCTTCTACACACTGTTGGATGAAGGCCTAATCCCCAACGCAGTAGCCACCACCGCACCCCCCCCCCATCCACCCGCACTCCTGGCACGTGACACTATTTCGTTTCTAACTCATTCAAATAAATACACTTTACGTTTAGCAACATATAAATGTCAAACTTTTGACACTGAACCCGACCATCATCGCAAGCGCCTCGCTCCACAAATTCTCAAACCTCGCGGCGGCGTGAGGGGTGGTGGTGGTGGTAGGTTGGCGTGGGGACGTTCGTAACAAGTCACACAACCGGCACAGGTTGCTGCGGGCACGTTAGTCAACTTTGCGACGCTTACGATGAATTCAAAACAAACTCGCGTTAATTTAGAAGCGGGGTGGTGGTGGTGTGGGGAGGCACTCAACAAATTAACGCGACGCCGCCTCCACCTCCTTCTTACCAGGCCGCGGGCGACAAGAAATGGCGGCAAAGCAGCAACGCCACCTCCCATTGGCCCAGAGGTCGCGTGACGTAGGCGAAGGGGGCGGGGTTTAGAGGCGCACGTTAATTGACCCCGCGTGAGACTCCGTTCAACATTAATTTGTCAAGCGCCGCGTTTAAAGGGACTTGAGTGGGAATATTTTTCTTCTTTGGTTCTTTCGGTTAAGTCACGTCTAAAGATAAAATAATAAACTAAAATTTTATCTTTAGATTTATTATTTTATCTTTAGACGTGACTTAACCGAAAGAACCAAAGAATAATTCCTGCAGTCACGAAAGCTCCATAATTAAGATTGGGAATATTTTTTTTCGTTGTTTTGATTAACTTTTTTTTAATTTGATAATTTCGCCTTCAAGTTGAACACCTCGCCACGCCACGGGGTGTCAGCAGGGGTTGTGCAGCCGGACTTGTACATAGACTCGCGCGTACAAGCGTCGAATTCGCGACTAATTAGAAGTGATTTTTTTTTACAATGCGCGACGTTTGGTGTTAATACTCTTTGGTTTTTTCGGTAAAGTCACGTAGGTGAAAAATAAGTAAATAATAAGATAATAGAAATTAAATAATATGATTATTTCTAATATTTTATTATTTACTTATTTTTCCCCTACGTGACTTGCAATATTTTGCTGTCTTTTCTTGGATTTTCTGTTTGCACTCAGTCATATATTCACTTTAAGATGTTTTTTGTTCATGTTTTTGTTTTTTGTTTGTTGCGGTTGCACCCGATTCAAGAGCCGAATGGCTCACAGGGCTATACCTAATAAATGAACTTGAACTTGAACCGAAAAAAACTAAGAGTATTAATCCTTGCAGTCACGAAAGCTTCAAATCTAGTTTGGTGTTAACTTTACAGGTGCTGCATGATGTACACATTAATGCAAAATCAAATTCACCGATTACACAAAACCATCAATGCACGGGTATACTGCACATGCATGCAAGTGTACGGTGCAGTCCTGTACAATAACACAGCTATTAACCCATACGATACAGGGAAATTGAGTAAAAAAATGTTTGTGTATGTTTTGTGTTTCTCACACTTGTCATGAGACTTTGTAGGGTGAACGTTGAGATTTATGATGGCACGGGGTGACCACTAAGGTCTGAATTGGTCTATAATAAGCTAGGCACTGATAAGGGGTTGACAGATCTGATAGAATATTCGTTAATTTACCCAATGAGGCAAATTTATTAAACGTCTCCCACCTCTGTCCACCCAGCAGAATAAACGAGTACACCACACACCACAGTAACACAGTTTATTGACAGGATGGGTGAAGTTTGAGTAATCCCACCTCTTTTTCCCACACGTCTGGCCACCGTGGAAGAGTAGACCAAAATACTCTCCCCCAGACATCCCTCTATTGGGGGGCCCTTCCTGCCAGCAGGGGCGTGAGCGAGCAGTTGCAGGGCTGCGACTTTATCTCACCCATTAAATTGTGTGCCTTGTGTTAAACACATTCCTGCGGAGGGAGCTGGTAGGAACGTTGGGTTGCTCGGTCAATGGCCAGGGTCAACGGCGGCGTGGTGTATTCCGCAAATATGCCCGACTGTGAGGGCGGGCACAAGCCGGCGTGAGTAGGTTAAACGTTGAGTTTTATAAGGGCACCACGGGGTGACCAGCCCCTCGGCCACCTCCCCACCCAGCCCCATCCCTCACCCAGCCCCTCCCCACCCAGCCCCACACCCCAACCTCCCCACCTTCCCCTCTCCACCCAGCCCCACCCAGCCCCTCCACACCTTCCCCACCCAGCCCCTCCACACCCTCCCCACCCAACCCCATTCGCAGGGTTTTCCCGGATAGGTAGGAGAAGAGATGCGGTGACAGCACGGGCAAGTCAGGTTGTTGAGAGGCAGACAATTGGCAGATTTAAGTCTTGTTCCAATGTAGATCTCTACATTGTTCTCCATTAATATTTAGAATCATCATTATTGTATATATATATGTGTGTTTGGGTGATTTGTTTCCATTCCTTGGGGGCCGTCCATAAATGATGTCACGCACCTGGGGGGGGGGAGGGGGGTCAGACATTTGTGACGATGTGTGACGAGGGGGGGGGGGTTTGAGAAATGTGACGTCACGTCAAAATGCGCAACTTTAAATAAATATAGACGACACGTTCTACTTAATTAAAGATACTTTTTAATAAATGTTTTCTCCCACAACATCAGAGTGCAGCGCCACATTAAATACTTACTACAATGACAATAGTTTAAAGCGATTTGAAGCATGTTTTATTTAGAGCTTTGTGACGTCATATTTGAGGGGGGTGTCTGACTTTTTGTGACGCCGTGTGACTAGGGGGGGGGGGGGTCAAAAAATCGTCCAAAATCGCGTGACGTCATTTATGGACGGCCCCTTGCACTCCTATTATGTTTTTGTACTGTTTGTTTGTGTGACGTTCTTACCGGCACCTTGCTGGACATCAGTGAAGAATTGCTTCATAGCTCATCGGATTCCTCCTGCAGTATAGATACAGATTCGGATCCATGATTCCTTGAAAAAAGGTGTCAGTTTTGTTGCCAGAAAAAAGGGTAAAAAACATATTATTACTTATTCTGACTTAAATCGGTCCAATTATGCCAAATGAACATCTGCAACAATACTATTAGGTTCTTTCGGTAAAGTCACGTAGGTAAAAAAATAGAAATAATAAAAGAAATAAAATAATAATAAACATTTTCAATTATTTGTATTATTATTTTTATTATTTTTACCTACGTGACTTTACCAAAAAAACCTAAGAGTATGAATCCTTGCAGTCACGAAAGCTTCAAATCTAGAATCTGCAACAATAAAAACAATCTCGTTACCGTCGTCTGCTTTGATCCACATCGTAGTTCTTGGGCTGTTGGGAATGTACCACTCAATTAAACAGCAACACTATGGGGACCTCATTTGCCAGTAAAAATATGATAATTGGTTCTTTACCCTTCTATCTGGCAACAAAACTGACACCTTTTTTCTTTTATTATAAACAGCAACAGTGCCGCATGGACTTACACTGTCAAACACATATTTTACGCGATCTAACCCAAAAATACTCGTATTATATATGCATTGTACTGTGTACAACTTCGCTGTATATACTGTGCATAAGACAAATTCAACTTCATACTCTTAAGTTATTTCGGTAAAGTCACGTAGGTAAAATAATAATAATGAAAATAAATATCATTTTTTTTATTATTATTAAAAGAATAATAAAAATAAATAAAAGTCACTATTATTTTATTATTATTTTTGCCTACGTGACTTTATCGAAAGAACCTAAGAGTATGAATCCTTGCAGTCACGAAAGCTTAAAATCTAGAATTAAATTAAATTTTGTTCGATTCATTGATAAATTGGGGGAGGGGCAGGGGGGGGGGGCAGGGGGGGGAGGGGCCAGGGGGAGGGGGGGAGGGGCAGGGGGGGGAGGGGCCAAGGGGGGGGGGACCGAATTTGGCGGGAAAGTTGAGAGCGCGCGAGCGCCGTCCGGCGGTTGGAATGGCGTCGAAGCCAACTTTGTAGCGCGTTAAAAACTACCCACGGCAGTCGTTGTTTCCAGATTAAACTAATTTTAGAAGTAAAATACAAACATACAGCGTTGACACTTCTAAATAAATTGTTTTTTTTAATGAGAGAAACAAAATACGGAAAAATCACCTCAGGCACAGACCCGCTACTGTTGCTTTATGGTGCTGCATCGCTGGTGCGTGAAATAAACCGATTTTTAAGTTTATTGTTACATCGTTGAAGTTATAACGTTATTGTTTAAGTCATTGAGTAATTATCGGCGGTTATAAGTGTACTCGTGTTAAATTATGTGGGCTTATTGTACGGTTTTTAGTTTGCAAAGTAAGTCCGTTCAATTATAAATAAAATGAAGACACGGGGGGGGGGGGGTGTTTAAATTTGCCATTTAACAAGTTGGCTTCGTTTTATGAAGGCATCGCCAACTTTTTACATAAATCAAACGAATCCTGACATTTACATCTCTTAAAAATGTGACTTTTTTCAGACGTTTGAAGAAAAGAGAAAATGTTTAAAGGAGTGCGAAGAAAGCTGGATTTCAGTAGCGGAGGAGGTGCTGTATATGGAGATTTTGTGTTAATTATAACTTTCTTATTTTCTTAAACTTCCTTCAGTTTTTTTATTATTATTACTACACGCTTTTATTTAACTCACTCTGTCTGTTGTTGTATTCTCAAATCTTGTAGCTCAATTTTTACCTACTTTCCAATGTGGTATCGACTGCTAACTTGGTATACTTATGTCATACTGATGACAATAACATATTCTATCATTAAAAATAAACAATATATATATTTTTAAACATTATTTTACACGCATTTTATTAACTCACTCTGTCTGTTGTATCCTCAAATCTTGTAACTAAATTTTAACCCACTTCCCAATGTGGTATCGACTGCATACTTGGTATACTTATGTCATACTGATGACAATACTATATTCTATCATAAAAAAGAAATATATATTTTAAAACAATCTTTTACACGCTTTTTATAAACTCACTGTCTGTTGTCGTATCCTCAAATCTTGCAACTCAAATTTTACCCACTTCCCAATGTCGTATCGACTGCAAACTTGGTATACTGGTGACAATACCATATTCTACCATTAAAAATGAACAAAATTTATTTTAAACAATCTTTTTTATGTGTTATGTTTCGCCTTGGGTCTAATTGTCCACGCTCAACTCACGTTGGCTGTAAATGACCAAGGCCCCCTTACTTTATGGCAAGTTTCTGGGCCACTTCCTGGGGTAGTGGAGTTATTTCATTACTCATACATTTAATTAAAGCGTGTTTAAAAAAAAAAAACCTATGTTTAAATATTACTTATTTCTTTTCATTAAGTTCCATTGAACTATTTCGCTACTTACGCCGAATTTTAGGGGTGG